CATTGCTTGTCTTAAGTCGCTGTCCCCACCCCAAGTACCCCTATCCACCCTCTGGGAACCCCCCACCTGTACACAATCCACAACTCAAAAGAGTTGTGGTTCCTGCAGTACCAGCAAGCTTCGCTCTTGCTCCCCACTACCCACCCAGCACCCCTCTTCTGTCACTCCCTCCCCTCCTCTAGGCTGCACCTCGTGGTTACCTTCCCTGGCCTGTCTGAAGTTGTGACCTCTCCCCCACTATATATGCACTCCCACATCCCTTGCTGGCTCCTTTTCTCTGGATTTCTTGGTCATTTCACTCTCATACTTGACTTCAGCCTCCCCTGATGGACATGGCAGCCTTCCTTCTCTTCTGTTCCCTGTTGTTGTTCTGGCACCTACAACACTGCCTGCCCAGAGTGAATGAGGAAAAACGTGTGTATGTGTTTATCAGTCCATCACAATGACCCGGGCCGTTTGCCTTGCTCCCAGGGAGAAGAGCTGGGATGCTCTGTGGCCCCTGGGAGGAGAGCGAGAAGAGGCAAGGATGAGGTCAAGGAAACCAGGACCTCTACCCGGAGAGGTACATGGCTGGGGTGAGGAGGAATGGGGAGATATCCACAGGCAGTGCAGGAAGGCCCAGGACGTGCTCAGGATTTGTCTCAAGGAAGGAGCAGCAGCAAGTGCCATCTATGCCCCAACTTTCAAAGGTCTGGCAGTTTAGAGGTTGAGGTAGTTTTGAATCTGACAGCAAAAGTAATGTGGCTTCCAACAGGACCCCAGTGAAAACCGGAGTCCTGCTGGCGCTACGGCAGCAGCCAGTGTCTGGAGCACAATGTCCATCTGTTCAGTTGCTTTCTTTTTTCAGAAGCTGTTGGCTCACCCCGCTGGAATGGGGTGGCACTTCAGGACACGGAGCTGAAGCTGGTGGCAGATTTCTTGGAAGTGGCGGTAGGGAGATCTAAATTAAGACCTTTCTATCACACCAAATAAATAGAAGCTGAAATACAGGACTGAAGGAATTAAGCAAAATGCCTTCATACATAACTTGTGAAAAACGGAGGGGGAAATGTTAGAAAACAGAATGGTATTTATTTATTGAGTTGCAAGGTATTTGCTGAAAACAATGACACCTCTGTTTGACACAAAAAAGCTTATTGAAAGGAGCAAGATTCTCTTTGAAGTGCCCTGCCACAGAAGCCTGGTCATTCACACCAACTGCACTGTTTGGAGGCTCTCTTGGCAAGGTCCAGGGACTGATGGATTTCAAGCCCACCCTTCCTGCCTCCCTCCCAGGGAGGTTAGATGAGTCACCTCCAGCTTGGAGTCTTCCTATTCACACTCCTGAAACATACTCTGAGTTGCCTAGGGGAGTTGCACCACTCCTGAGGCAGTGGTGCCAGAGGCAGGTAGGGTGTCTACCTTGGTTGGTTGTGGCAGAGGGCCAGGAATGGTGGCTCCCAGGCAACTGTGAAGGGCTGTCTCACAACAGATTTCAGGTCTTGGTCTCTGAGCTAGACAGACCTGGTTAGCAGTGTACTTCCAGAAGAGCAAGGGCGAGGCCCTGGCCAGAGCCATGAGGAGCTCATCCTGCAGAAATCATCTTAGAATGGTCTGTGCATCTCCTAATCATCACTTCAAATGCGAAGGGAAAGGCTGAAGGACACACGCAGAATCATCGAGGAGCTGTTTCTCCAAGAGACAAAATTCCAGGCTTCACCAGATTCTCCAGGCAGGCCAGGCTCTGATGTTTATCATATGCCAATTTCTATGGTTGATTAAAAGCTTTCTACAGATGAGGTAACAACAGCACTAAAACATAACAAACTATAGTAATCACGAAGTAATTGCTTGCTTGTATTGTTCACGGTTTAATAGTAGCTGTGTTTGACCACTGGTTCACAAAATTCCTAAAAATTTAACAACTGGCCCTTGTTCTGGAGCCTGGTCTGAGCTGACTCCAGCACCCCAGACCTTCACACACATCTTAGAGATGAACAACTCCATGAGAAGCAGATAAACCACCTTACCAGTACCAGGTAACTTCAAGACAACTTACTGTATCGTTCTAGGTGTTAAATTTTAGGATTTTAACTTACATTTCCTTGACGATGGATAGTGAACAAATTTGGCTATCAAAATACGTATAAGCCAACTGGATATCTGTGAAACACCAGTTCAAAATCTGTGCCTGTTCACGATATTGGCCTTCTTTTCTTTGGAAGCATGTATTGACATTTCCTCCACATGATGGCTTGCTTGCTTTTTCACAATCAGTGGCAACTTGGTAAGTTCTTTCTTTTTCTTTTCTTTTTTTTTTTTTACTGTAGATAGACACAATATCTTTATTTATTTATTTTTATGTGGCACTAAGGATCAAACTTAGCGCCTCACACATGCTAAGCAAGCGCTCTGCCACTGAGCCCCAGCCCCAGCCCTTGGTAACTTCTTAACTGCAGCAAAATCCACCTTATCAGCTTTTTATTCTTACAGCTAGTGCTTTTTGTTTTCTAAGAAATCTTTGTCTATTCCAAGGGAAGGAAATATAGAGCAGCATTATTTTATTTTTCATATTTAGGACTATGATCCATTTGGAATTGATGTTCTATATACTATGAGAGATCAAAGTATGTTTTTTCCCCCACAAGGGATATCTAAAATCATTCTTTTTTTTTTTTTTAATTTTTATTGTTGGTTGTTCAAAACATTACATAGTTCTTGATATATCATATTTCACACTTTGATTCAAGTGGGTTATGAACTCCCATTTTTACCCCGTATACAGATTGCAGAATCACATCAGTTACACATCCATTGATTTACATATTGCCATACTAGTGTCTGTTGTATTCTGCTGCCTTTCTAAAATCATTCTTAATGTAGCTAAAAAAAAAAAAAACTTTTTTTTTCTGACTTGATGGTTTGACCACTTTGATTTGATGATTGACTCATTAGGAGTTTGTAGTTGACTATTGGTGTTCAACTTCTGCATCTTTGCTAAATATTTTAAAAATTTTTTTTTGTAGTTGTAGATGGACAGAATGCCTTTATTTTATGTGTTTATTTTTATGTGATGCTGAGGATTGAACCCAGTGCCTTGCGCAAGCTAGGCAAGCACTCTGCGCACTGAGCTACAGCCCCAGCCCTAAATATTTTCTTTTTAGTGAGGAGTTAAAGGGGGAATAGGAAGAGACAACACAAAGCTAAGGCAATGTTAGAATGAATGAGAACACCCCAAGCTCACCCTAAGCTGAGGAGTCTGGAGTACACAGCTTCTTCACTAGGGATCACCTTGTCTGGGCTCTTCCAACGTGTCAGTTCAAATACCCCGAGTTGGGGAGGGTGGGCTCTGACTGTAAACTCAAACTGAACAGGAAAGGCCAATTCAAGAGTGCTCATACAGATAATCTGGGAAAGCCAAATGTGAAACCGTCCTTTCCTCTACAATCACATTACCCTTAAAGTCAAGATTTCAGGAATACAGCTATGTTTCAAAATGATTTTGAGATGATCTGATTTCCTCTTGGTCTTTTCACTAATTAATTGCATTCCAGTCCAGGCTGTGTTGAGAAAATGCTATGACCTAACCTAACAAAACTTTTTCTTATAGGATCAAACTCTCCCTTTGCACTTTCCAGACCCTCATCTTACCAATTACTAGTTCCCCTTTTTCAAGGGTTTATGTGCTATGCACTATGCTAAGCCCTTGAAAATTTTATTAATCTAAGTGCTTTCTTTGCTTCTCCTTCAAAACTCTTCTGACTACCTGAGATGACTTTGTATATTTGTTATCTATTTAACTCCATAACAGGATTCATGGGGCCCCTAACTTTTGTTTACCACTGTAATCAAAACATCTGGCCTGGTGCCTTGTAAACTACTCCTACACCCCTGTCAAATAAATAGTTTCCAGTATTTGTTTCCATGGCAGGTCTTGCCTGGAAGGCTCTGAAGTGTACATGGCCATAGGAATATGGACGTCCTTCACTGTGTCAAGAATAAAGAGGAAAAACAAAGAGGAACTAGACATTACTGTTAAAGATAAGCCTTTTAATCAAGCCTATTGAATGTATTTAAAAAGACCTAAATATCTTTTGCACTTCTTTCATGCTGGGTCCTGAGATGTTTGGGGTCCTCATTCTAACAAACTGCTCATCACTTGACTACCTTTGCCTTTCAGTCTCCTGGGTGACAGCCTCATGTGGATGAAAGAAATTCCCATCTTGCACTGTCTCTTCCACCTGTTCCTTCACAGAGGGTTGTCTGATTGAAAACTATTCTATTCTAGTTCTATTGCTACAAGTTGTCATGTGTTGATCATTCTCACCACCTGCCTCCACTGTATATATTATCTTTAAAATTAACTAAAAAATGTAGTAATATTGTGCTGGGTACCACTTCAATTTTATATTGGATTATTCATTATTCTTAACAGATTAAGCAGTTCAGTAGAGAAAAATAACCTTATTTTTAAAAGAATAACCATTGCTTTAAGTTATACATTATTCTGAATTGAATGTTAACAGATTAAAAATATGTACTGATAATTCTTTGAATATGCTTGAATAAACACTAGATTTTTAAAATTTGCATTCTTTAATCTTTTACAGTGAGTATACTCAAAAATAAATTAAATCAAGCAGCCTCATTAGTTCCAGATGCAAAAAAAAAAAAAAAAAAATCCTGAGAAATGTAATTGTCTTCAGGGTCCTTATATGTGTGTATTTGTATTCACATGAAATATCTGTTAATTAAGCCTAAAATAGTGAACTCTTTATCATCTCTGCATAAAAGTTCAATTCACAAATTTAAATAGTTAATCGTGTAAACGTGAGTTTGTCAAGTTTTATTTAGGCACAAAGGAGTTTTGAACCAGGTTCTACCAGATGTAGCATGGCTGTTCTTTCCAAATGAAGTCACTTTTAAAATGTTAGCATAGAATGGAGGCCTTGAATTTTCATGTAGAATGTATTTTAACATTATCTGAGAAGGAATGGGCAAGAATGACAGTGCACTGCCAGTCTTTCAGAATGCTGTTTATTGACAATTACTGGACAAATGTAAGGCATGTTCACAAGGCTCTGAAGTTAAGGACAGAATACATTCTCTCACTCGTTAGTTGCTTTTCTCCTTCATACCAGTTGCTACAAACTGTCCCTTGTGTATTTTAATATGCACAGCTCTCAACTGCCATGAAAATGCAGACAATGTTTTAGGGACCAAGATGGAGAATGCTTCAGAGTAAGGAGGGGGCTTCTATGGACTACGTCACCAAGACATCACAACTCACATGGAGCACAGGCAGAGGAAGGTGACCAAATCTGCCCATACTCTCGTGACTGACTTGAGTTTGCAGTGGAACGAAGAACACACTGAAAATCACTTTTTGATCCTTCATGTTTGAGTGGTGGAATGTGTCCAGGATTCACTTTTCCATATTTACTGCTGTCCATAGGTCACTAAAAGAATCTAAATAGTTCCTAATGCAGTCACAGTTTTGTTCTTAGGCATAGTACAAGATTGCATGCATTATTTTACACAAATGTCAAACACAGAACAGTTGTAACACAGACACCGCAGAATTGTCTAATTACACAAGTTTTTCTTTTGGGGGGTGGGTAAGGAGGAGAATGATGGTTACTAGTCTATACAGCGCCTGTGCGGGATCAGCACTGAGCTAGATGTAGATATCCAAGCACTTGCTGACTGACTCACAAAGAGAGCCAAATACTGCTAATGAGAACAGCAGCGTATTCTAAGAACAAATTCAAATGTGGGGTTGGTATGTTGAATACACGGCCTTGATTTGGGGGGTAAGAAAGTCTTGGCTGATAACTAATAAAGTAATTTTGCAATTGATTTTCAAATATCAGATTACATCATAAAAAGATTAAAAAACAAAAATAAAATAAAAACCTATGGAGTGGATGGGGATGTAGCCCACTGGTGGAAAGCTTCCTTGACTAGCATTTGTGAGGCCCAGGATTCAATCTACTACCATATGAAGGGAAAAAAATATATGGAAAAACAAATAAAATGAAAATCAAAAGCACATGACATTTCATGAAGAGGAAATGTGAATCTTTTTGGTCCATATCAGCCAATATTTTAATATTAAGTACAAATTATTAAAATGTGACTTGTTTAAGCCCATTTTAAAAATGTAGGATCTCTGAGGGAAAATGTAAGCATATTTTCAGACTACCGAATCTTATAAAAAATTTTAAAGGTCAATATCATCTCTGTTATAGAGCCACTGGAACAGATTTTTCAAACACAAAAGGGAAACCTGGGCACTTCACCAGGTTAAGAATTCTTATAATTTAAACTGTTTTGGGGTGCTCACAATACTTCCCCAAAGAAGCTCCCATCTCACAGATCTCCTCCACAACAGCGCTAACAATGTAAGAATGCAATGACACATCATTTGATAAGCCATTATTTGACTATCACTGAAATATTGAATCAGAGTGGAGAAATTACCTAATAGCAACTGAATTAAAGATTTCCACTGATTGGCTTTGTGATACAGAATGCCAGAGATTCGTCAAATGTTTGTTTTTTATGCTGAAAGTAGGAATTATCATTATTTCAACTTGGTATGTGGGTGAGTGATGCTTAGTGAAGAGTGACTACCTAGAGCAGCAGGAAGGCAGTCCTGGCTGGCCAGTCCTGGAGGGTAGACACAGACTACTCTTCTGACAGATCACCATCACGACAGGCAGGGCAACTACTCTGCCCTTTTAGCCACTGCTTAAAGCACTGAAAAGAAGAAAACAAAATCAGTCAGTGCCTTCAGGACCATGTGGGGGCCTTAGTTCCCCTGCACTGCTGGACTCCTTGGCATACACGGCTAATGTCACCTGCAAGTCTGATGGGGCCTAATGCTGCCCAATACTCAGGGACAGTAATGCTGCTTAGGCCAGGAGTATGAATAAAACTACCGTGGAAATAAGTCCCCTTCAGATATGGCCCCCTGTGTGGCCTTGTCCTCCACTACACCTGGCTCCAGTCTCAATTCTTCAGCACCAGTCGCCATGTTTTGCAGGAGGTCAGCATTTTGATGACCCTTGGGACCCTATCACCCAAATCTTAGCCCATTCCTCTTCATGGTTTTGGCTTGGTTCTTAAACATCCCACCAGCCTGTGTGCCATGTTCCCTGTTGCTCTTAGCCAGCCTGCTGCTGCAACATGGCTGAGTATGCATGGAAACCTAGAAAGTCCAAGCCAGGATGCCCTATCTGGAGGAGAAAGCTTTCTCATTTCCTATTAGTGAGTATTCTGTATGCATCCCTTTCTCAAGGATGAATAAATCAGCACAACAGAGACCTGATCTGTCCTCACTCAGCAGGAAGAGTACAGTACAAATGCTCAGAGTCAAGCACAAAGGACCCAACAAGGTTTAGTTTTTCTCTTTTAAAATGTTAAACCACCTTTATACAGTACACTAAATTAATAAAGTGCTACACTGTTTATTTATTTAGTCATGTAAGAAACCATCTTTAAAGGAATTCATATTGCTTTGGCTCTCAGCACCTATTATAGTCCCTGAAGTCAACTCTTTTCTACCCGTGACATTATTACAGAAAGTACAGTCTGCAGAGCTGCACACACCTCTGGCCCAGGACCACTCTCCCGCTTCTTCAGCACCAGTCTTTGCAAAGGGCAATGACCAGAGACATGTGTAGGCTTATAGAGTGGCTTGGAATTATAAGTATCGATACTTAAGAAAAAAATTCCTTTTTTATTTTCAAAACAGTTGGCAGTCACAATGCATGATATAGATGGTCAAAGAGAATTCTTACCCCTTTGTGAAACTTGTGTCCACATTTTAGCACACGCACATTTTTTGATTTGAACACCTCATGGCATATTTCACAGGAATCTGCATCTAGTACCTGTGGAAACAAACATATCTGAAAAATAAAGATTAAAGAAATCTCTCTTTATGACATGAGTTTTTCATGACTCATGACATGAGTGGCCTTCAAACATTTTTGCCACAAAGGGTGGTAAATTATGGCTGGGCAGAATGAAGAAACAACTTGTTTTTAAATAGCATTTTAAAAGAGAAAACATAAAAATACAAAAATAAAAGTATATTTCTGAATTTCTAATGTTCTCAGAGGGAATACTGGTTTTTATAATTAATAGATTCCCTGGTGAGATATTACTACTTATATTATACTACTTATCCCTATAGCATACATGAAGTATGGTTATTAATTAGATATTACAAATTAATTATTCATCTAATTATCTAACAGGGACTTAAATTATGACAAATCTACACAATAGACTATCATGTAGCCAATTAACATCATGATGGAATACCATGATCCTTGACAGAGAAAGCTGGTCACCACAAATCATTGAATAAATGCAAGTTATACAACAGTCTATCACGTAATTCAATTTTTTAAAAAGAGAGAATGTCTACAGAAGTGCCTAGAAAATAATCTGATATCAAAATATTAATAGGGTTACCCCTTGGACAAGGAGATTATTTTTTTTTTTTACAATTTTTTAAAGTTTCCATGAACATGGAATATTAGTGCATTTCAAAACAGACAGCTAAACCAACTAACATCCACAGTCGGGGATTGTGTGAGACACTGGAAACAGATGACTGTAAGTTTTCTGGCCTCCTCTGTGACATATACCCCAAGTGACACTTAGGCCACCAAGCACAGAGTTCTCCTTGCAGCTTACAGCACTTATCATGCATTGCATCAGCTCTATTCTAACTTGCCTCTTAACTCTGAGCACTCTAAAGGCAGGAAATGAGTCTTATTTATCTGGACTTTAAGTATCTGGTAAGAAACCTTGCCCCAACTGATGTTCCAAAAATATAAAAACATCCCAAGTGACTGACTGAAGCAGACATCAAGCTGTGTAGATCCTGAACTACTGTGTGGGGACCTGCTCTTTCCCTAGGTGCTGGCAGGGTGCAGACAGAGAATTACAAATTAGGGGCAGACCAGAGAGAACAAAGGTGTTCATGTTGCTCTACTGCTGTCTGTGACTCAAGGATCAGGGAAGAAAGGGAGGTGTGAGCACTGGGGAAGGGCAGGAGAAGACCTCTCCAACTCACTTTGCAAAATTCAAAGCCAGGTTAGCTGGGAAAATATATAGTTAACTTGACTGTTTTCTAGTATGGGAAGATGAACACAGTATATTTCGAAGTAAAAAGCAAAACCACAGTAAAAAAATTGAAATATCCCCCAAAGAACATAAAAAATATGACCTGGTATTTGTTTTGATTAAATTAATACATTATATATATATATATATATGAGTTTAGAAAAATATATACTAATGTAATAATGCTAACTAGAGGGTAAGTTTTAAGAGTTCTTATTTTTTTCAAACAGGATATTGTGGTAGAGAACTTGAACTTGTGATTTTCCTATCTTAGCTTCCCAAGTGACTGGGATTACAGGTGTGTCCCACCATGCTCAGCTTTAGGGTTTTTAATATGCCCCCTTTATTTCTATTTTCTATTTTGAGTGTGTATTACTTCTGTAATCTAAAAATATAAAACAAACTTTTTTTCATTTTTCAAACACTACCTACAATTATCTAGTTAAGTACCAGTTTGAATATAAATTTTTATTTCTCATGTAATTTGGCAAAGTTTAAATAAAGTGGATTTTACAACTTTATTATTATCAACATTGAATATGAACTAGGAGATCTCTTTCAGGTGATTACTTCAAGTCTATCTTGAGGTGGGGATGGTCATAACACACATGCACATGAATGGGAATGCCCTGGGAATCCTGCCTGGTTAAAGGGTCACAGAACATGTGACACATAAGAAACCCCTGGGAGAAGCGGGGACTGACTCGAAGTGGGTACTCCACGTGCCTATAAGCACTCTCTCTAGGATATGGTTGGGGATGAGACCTTCTGGGAGTTGAGTGTATGTGGTGTGGTAAGTCTTCAAAGGTGTAGTGTAAAGCACAAAATATATAAAAGGAATAAAAGTAAGTTCATGAAAAGACTCACTGCGAGCTCAAGTTAACATACTAGCCTTACTCTACATCTTGTATTGTGAACTCACTGCTGAGAACATTATGGGGCTGTGACCTTTCATTGTCTTCTACACTCTGCTACCACAGTTGGAGCAACAGGGAAATGTGCTTCACACCAGAATTCAATCTACAGCCCCCTACCTGAGCCATGAGTCGATGGCCCCTCTTTCAACCACATGCAGTCCCTACAGGGTCTCTGGCATCAGCTGGTCAGTGTGGAAAGAACTGGGAATGACATGCTGCTCACTTAAGTCAAAAGGCCCAGTCTGAGCTACAACTATGCCGTCAGTCCAGTGAATGCTAGAAAGTCGCATCTGGGCCTTGATTTCCTTATTATAAAATATAGACAATTACAAGGCCTTATCAACTCAGACATAGTTATAACAGCATTTTATAAAATGTTCCATGTAAATGTAAATTATTCTTACTGTTTAAAAGGAGAAGAAACAACTTAAATCAGCATGTTAGATTTCAGGCACATTTAGCCCATTCCAGTGTGCCCTTCCCAGGTGTGTGAGGGAAGAGGTGAAGGGCAAAAACTAGATTTTCAGTACTGGGCTGACCTGGTCCTTTCATGGCAGCATTTCATCCAGAAATAGCCTGGTCAGGGCAGATATTACCCCGGCAAACAGTGATGTGAAGTGATGCAACCCAGTCTGATTTCATAGTCCATGATTATGAAGAATAAAATTAGTTAAAGATTATTTTTTTCAACTAATCCAAATATTGCAATTAATACCAAAATACATAAATAAGTAAATATATCAACATATCTGCCCATCTGCAGCAACACAGCAAGAAGACAGAAAACTCAGTTCTCTCAATGCAGTCAGAGCTTGAGTGCAAGGCTTTTCCCTGTTCTAGGTCCTGGGCATTCCTCAGAACTATTCACTGCTGTTCAAATTGGACACCTTCAAATACAGCAAAATTTGGTTTCTAATTTTAGGATCCAATAAAGTAGGACTATAAATGAAAAGAATGGTGCTAAATCATGGGTTAAAAAATGTTTTCTTCTTGTTCTTCATTAAAAAGTAAAACTAGGGTTGGGGCTGCGGCTGAGCGGTAGAGCACTTGCCTAGCACATGCGAGGCCCTGGGTTTGATCCTCAGCACCACATAAAAATAAATAAAATAAAGGTACTGTGTCCAACTACAACTAAAATTAAAAAAAAAAAAAAAAAAGTAAAACTAGCTACGACATTATACGTACGACACTCATGGGGACATCTTCTGTTTTCTGTCCCTTAGTTTTGGGTGATGGTCCAGCAATTGAGGGTGGGCCCTGGGAAGACTGGTTCACAGAAGCAGCAGAGCTGGCCTCAGATGTTCTCTTGCCCTTTCCTGGATTTGGCTTAAGAGATAACAAGGGGATTGGGTGAGAGAGCACAAAGGAAGCAAAGTTCAACTTAGTAACCTAAAGTTTGATCATCTTTTTTGGTAAATTTTCTCTATATTTTGGCTTGAAGCTTTAAAAAAAAGAATTCTCAAATTTTATCAATAAATAAGGATTAAGGGGAACATTTTACTGCATCTGGATGAAATACCTTTTTCTTTTTCTCTTCATCTACAATGTGTTCTGTCACTCTTTGGACAATTTCATCAATACCCAATCCTGAGAGTAAGTTCTTGTTTTTGTTTCGAACCTTTTTAATAAAACCAGCAAGCTCGGTGCTGAAAGGGAAAGTAAACAATAAATGACAACAGAAAGTCAATGTGCCAATATCAACCCAGAAGTCCAACTCGAAAAAGTAAATATACAAAAATTAATCTGTAGAACATAGGACAATAATAACTACACATGAAAAGCATAATTATTTTAAGGCAGAATCAATCTTTCCAAGAAGTTGTGAAAATTTCCACAATATTATTTAAAAAAATTTTTTTTAGTTGTTAATGGACTGTTTGTTTTATTTATTTAAAAATAATTTAAAATCAATAAGATCTCTTTCTATCCAAGAAAAACTAGCTTTGTAGATTTCCTTCTTTGAAAAAATCCCTAACAAACCAGCTTTCAAAGTCTGAATGTTTCTCAAATGCCATCAAATGGGAAGAGTACACCATCAGTCAATGGGAACTTGATATTTGCACCACTAGTGCCCCGAATATTTTAGCTTTCAGAAAATCAGAACACATTTCTGTTTGATTTTTTTTAATTCTGCCAAATTTAATTAAGACTGTACGAAATTTTATTTGTAGGGTACTTCTGATAATTACAACTTGAATATTTTTACAACTGACATGAGAACTGCTATTGAGAGAACTTACAATGTTTGTCAAACTTAGGGAGAAATATGCCCAAATGCAGACAAAATATACTTATTTTCAAGTGGCAGAGTTCCACTGACACTGTAAAATATTATTTCTGACCAATCATTAATTATGACTTTGTTTCCAAATTTCAATTGCAAAGCCTGTAACTAACATTGTCAGAGAATGAGAATTAACAAGGCAGGTACAGAGGCCATTCTCTGTGTGGAGTCCTCTCTTCTGAGCTACTCATCAATCCTAACCTTGCTCTTTCTTGTCCCAACCTGGAGCCATGGGGAGGCAGAAACACTGCTGAAGTGCTAGCAACCATCCCCAGCCCCACTTACAGCTCTTCTTGACCCAGATATGAGGAGTTCTTCCCCAGTCTCCCAAGGATCCTCTGTGACATTTATACATTCCTCATGTACTGTCAAATTCAGTCTAGTCTTTTCAACCTTGCACCTCTAACAAATCAGAGGTATTATCTACAAGGTGTAAATTGCTGCTGTTTTCTTTTATATGTGATTTATCTTCTTTCAAAATACAGAAAACTATTATTTTACAATTAATTTACTAATTTCATAACAACTAGTGTTAAGAGAGTGCTATGGATCTCATAAAAATCTTAGCAAACTGACAGATTCTGTTCAATGTTGATTACCAGTGCTCAATATTTTTAATCTAGATGTGCATATTTAAAAATTTATTTGAGGACTAGGGGTGTAGCTCAGTGGTAGAGCTCGGGTCTAGCATGTATGAGGTGTGTGTTTGTCCCCAGCACTACAAAAAAAGAAAAGAAAATGCTCACCTCTATGTTTACAAAAAGAAAGAAAAGTAGCACCTGTCCTAATGAGCAAAACATCATGCAGTTTTTTCCATGTTAGCCCCTAGCCAGCCTTGATTTTATTTGATCAGGAAACATCAGTTCAATGAAGTATTTAACAGTCATAAATGTTTTATATTCATACCTGCTGTACCATGGGAACACCACTGACAGGTGCTCAATAATACTGTTGAACGGCTTTTTTGGAGACTGGCTTGAAGCACGTTCTGGAGGAACAGGTACTTTCTGATGTGCCTCAGGGCTTTGTTCAGATGGAGTTGTCTGGCTGGCCCCTGTATGCTCTGATGGCTGAGTAACTTCAGTTTGACCAGAGGGCAACCGAGGTGACAGTGCAGTAGACTCCTCTGGGCAATCACCGGTGGAGAACAGATCTAAATCCTTAACTGCTCCAGTTGCACTGTTTACAAATGTCCCAGGCCCTTGATCATCATGGCCTGAAGACTCAGGGGGAAACTCAGGATGAATCTGTGAGGGACACACCACAGGAATTGGGTCACTTAGGAATTGTCTTAAGAGGAGAAACAGGCAAGGACAGAGACTGCATGACTATAATATAGGAAACCTGAATACAATAATGTTTTTGTCTTAAAAGAATTGCTGATCATAACTTGGTAGTTCTTAAAGCAAGGGTAGATTTCTGACTTCTAAATAATTTTCTACAGTATACTTTTTTCCTGTAAAATTAGAAAAGCTGCTTAAATGAGAACATTTCACCTGCCTAATGCCCCTCCTTCAGTCTGCACTCTAATGCTTCTCTCCTTCCTAGCTGAACTTGGTTGATCAAAGCTAGCTGTCCCAGCACTCTCCAAAGGTGTCTACCCCACTAAGTAACAGGGACATCTAGGAATGCCAGCTGCCTCTTCTTTCTCAAAATGTGCCCTCTGGCTCTGTTCTGCTGGCTCCTTCAACAAGGAGAGCTCAGCTATTATCCTCTTTCCATGCCTAAGTATGGATGTTCCTTCTAATGTCATCTGAGGCTTGAACCTCTATCACATGCTATCTTCTCCGAGGCCATTTCATGTCCTCTCAGACCTCAGTGACTATGCTCACTGCTAATTAATACCCACTTTTTAAAGTTTCTAGTCTAGAATATTATCCTGAGATCCATATCTACAGATCCACTTGGATGACTCTGGGACCCAAAGGTGTTCAAAACCAGCCCCAGTGCAGTCTCATCGGGCTGCTCTTCCCCTCAAGTCCACCCTAGACTTCCCATGTCCACACGCTCTGTCCCAGTCTTGAGCATGGCACAGCTCTTTCATCTGCTCCTCCTAGATCCCTCTCCCATTTGGTTATCTTCCATCCACTCCCTCTCCACTCCTTCATCCAGACATGGCTAATGGCAGTAAGTGAATAACCAGTCAGTGGAAATCACCTCCAGCCCCTCCTTCCTACTTCTCCACACTGCCATTCAGTTCATCTTCATGAAGTATAGAGCTGACAGTACTCCCTGCATGAACCATAGATCAGTTTCCTAGTGACATAACATGGCTTAGAGCACAAGGATCTCCTGACCCTGGCCCTGGGCTACTTCCACACTCACTCTATAGATAGATACCTTTGTTAAAGTAAACTTATTTTATAGCTATGAAAGGAGTATGTCACCCTGCCCCACTCTTTTATTCTAGCAACCAAATACTTTCCTTCTTCTACCTGAAACACTCTGACCCCAAGCATTACAATATCCTCCCTTCCCCCAAAGTTAATCCCCTCAACTCCTTCACCTGGTCTGTTCTTTCTTCTGATCTCTGTGTCATGGAGGTCTCCATCTCTAGACCAGGATAGTGACCCTGATTTCTGCTGCTATAGTACTCTGCTATGCAAAACCTCAGCGTCATCTGCTTGTAACTGAATTTAAGCCCATAAGCACTTTGAGGGCCTACCTCATATCTAATCTCAATAACCATTAAACATCCACCAAATGACTGAGGAAGATACGAGACGAAAAGTAAATAGGTTTTAAGGACATTTATTAAGTAAGTTCCTAGCAAACTAAATTTCCAGGATTTTGGACATGAAAATTCTTTTGAGTATTTATAAAATCACATGAGCTAAAATTACAAATTAATAATAAAATAGTATATTGGAATCCACAGATTTTTCTCTCCACATCTGCTGTAAAAACCAAGAGAACTATAAATAAGAAGTGATTTTTCAGTCTGAAATAAAACAATTTCTTATTCAGTTCAATGGAGACAGAAAAATTTGGATCAATAAAATATTTTAAAAACTAAAGTTCAAGGCAGATGTACCTTTTTACTCCTCAGACATTTAAGACCAGACTGATTAAAGGAACCAGCCATCTAGATACAGGAGATACAACGTATATGCAGAAGGGCCACAGGGGAAGGACAAGAGGGAAGCCACTGTCTAAGCATTCAGTTGAAGGCAGATGAAAGGAACACCACCCATAGCCTGGAACAGCATCCCTGGCAAAGGTCAGGTACCAGCAGGAAGATACTTTTTGTGCTGTAGAAAATGTTCCCCATCTTTAGGATTTCAATCTGAAATCCATCTCTAATCAACTCTTCTACAGAGTCTTTAAATTCCTATCGTCTGACCATCTTTGAACCTAATTCATTTCAATTAGTATTAACAAAGAATCTCTGTGTGCAAACTTCAGATAACAAGTATCCCAGAATACAGTAAAGTGACATTAGGTTTAGCTATATTGTAAAGCCCACAAAATACAACTAATGCTTTTCTTTACTGGGGTATTTTATAAGAGCAATCACCAGTATTCAAAAGATTCAGAACAACCTCACATTAGCAGTAAAATATGGTATGCTAGATCAATAAAGTCTTGCACGTCTCAGATACACTAGTTTTTATTCTATATTTGATGAGGAAACAGATCTTAATTTTAAGATTTTGATTTTATGCCTCCAAGTATCTAGAAATTATAATAATCCCAGGTGGTACAGAAGAGAGGGCCTGCTTCAATCAAAGGAAACTGCTACTCTGTATTATTTGTTCAAATGCTAGAACGTACATACACATCATACATACTACGTCTAGAAAAGAATGGCGATAGGCTATAGTATATCAAAGTGTAGAAAAAACATGGACCAATAGTATTTGCCTTAGTCCTGCACCAATGCACAGAGGCAGAAGACTGATCTATTTATATAAGAATGTTTATAAAGATTAAAAGGTTAATCAATGGTACCAATAATGAAAACATTAAGGCAACTGTTAATTCATCCCATTCCCAGAAAACAATAAACAAACAACTTTGGCGCATTAAAAAAAGAAACTGTGGTTCATTATGTTTTGTTTCAGGGAAAGAAAAAAAAAAAAGATGCAACTGACTTACATTGTTACAGGCAGGAAATGGAAGCTCAGAAATCTGCACTTTAGAAAGCTCACTGAGTCGAGAACCATTTTTAATGGCCTTAATTTGATCTTCAAATTCAGACTGTAGGTGGAAGGGAAAATGTGAAGTTTTTCTCTAACAAATTCCAAGAAAACTATAATTTCCAATTAACACTATAAAACAGTCAACAGCTTCCCAAGAAACAAATGAGATGCAAAGTATTAAGACAATTTTTTTAAAGAAAATTTGTTCAAAATAAGAACATTACCATTAATTCTCCTTAATCAGAATGCTCCAAAGTCTTATATATATTTAATCTCATCAATCAGGGGCAAAATTTAAGATAATTTCCATATTTTTCTTATTTCTTTTGTTTTGTATTGCTGAGAATTGAACCCAGGACCCTTGGCATGCTAGGCACATGTTCTACTATCCTATATTCTTAGCCCCAAAATATTAAGAAAATACTATTAATTTCATAAGTGATAACAAAAATGCAGTATTATTATTAACATGTCAAAAAAGAAATGGTTTAAATAAGACACCAGCCTCACAAGAACTGTAACCACCATAAATATTTTGACAGAATTATAAAACGTTTCATAACTTACTTTTGCTCTCTCAATTTCTTTTGTAACATTAGAAAGAAATGATTCCCATGAACAGATATCAGACTCCATGTTGGGATATTCTGTGGAATCACTGAAAAAGTTTAAAAATATATTTAATATCCACTTGGGAAATTTAAAAAATGAAAGCATTTAAATGCAAATGAAAATAAATACTTAAACATTAGCAAAAGATACATTCAACCATCCCATTCACATATTAACTTTTTTTTTGTAATAAGGATTGAACTCGGGGCACTTTACCACTGAGCCATATCCTCAGAATTTTTTATTTCTTATTTTGAGACAGAGTCTCGTTAAAATGCTTGGGGTCTTGTTAAGTTGTTCAGGCTGGCCTCAAACTTGCAATCCTCTTGCCTCAGCCTCCCGAGTTGCTGGGGATTACAGGTATCCACCATTATGCCTGGGTACATAATTACTTCTAAAGAATTATGAATCATGTAAACCTGCCCCTAGACATTTAAGGATATCTTAACTATGGATAAAACCAAACAAAAACACAACAAACAAAACCCTTAAACTAGGGGCAGAGAGAAGATATTCTCTCGAATTTTTTTCCCCCACAAGTTTGAAAATTTGACTGTTCTTCATTTGACTTCTTCATATTTAATATTAAACACTACCTTTGCATTTAAAAAATTTTAGTCAGCCTGGAATATTCCAAAAATGGCAATAAAACCTAAATCCCCGTCTAACTGTAAAACTAAAGAATGCAGCCTTAGAGATTAAGATAAATTTACAACCTCAGAACTTTATAAATCTGGTCTATCTAAAGTGACAAATAAGGGGCTGGGGCTGTAGCTCAGAAGCAGAGTGCTCGCCTGGCATGGGTGAGGTACTGGGTTCAATCCTTAGCACCACATAAAAATAATATAAAATAAAGGCATACTGTCCATCTACAACTACACACAGACACACACACAAAGTGACAAACATCCTACTCCTAATTTAAAGCCTCAACACTCCTTTCAATCTGTAATTGTGTCAGTTCTCCTTACATATTACAAAGAAGACGCAGAATGGTCTCCTCCCCCACTTTTCTCCTTTGCTATCCTTTGGTGGGATCAGTATTCAGCAGAGCATACCCAAGAATCTACATATACCTAAGGCTTAATGGAAGAAAGTCAATACTACTGGATAAAATAAGGTCTGAGTGTCTTTGTTTTTCAGATAAGACACAATCCATAGCCTATGGGAATTACTTAAGAGGTTTCTGAACACTAGCTGATCTCAACCTCAGCTGTACTAGTTCTGTAATCTGAATCTGCATGTCAGTTCACCTTTGATTAGAAAAGTCTTTTGGTAAAAAAAAAAAAAAAATCTTGAAAATAAAGGATAAAAATAAAGGATACTATATACTACAGTGTACTATACTATATGTACTACTCCATAACTCTTCCAGTCAATCTCTGGTTCAACTATGAGGGTTTGAAATTCAAATAAAAAAGCAAGCACTAGGAAGAATTAAAAATCTGGGATTAAATATGAAAACCTGAACATGATACAAAAAACAGATGAAAAGTAATCCCCCATGTGCAAACACAGAGGCCTAGAGGTGCAGCTCAGTGGTGGAGCACTTGCCTAGAATGGAGGCGGCCCTGGGTTCCATCCCCAGCACTAAAAAACAACAAACAAAACCAAAACCAAGGTGGGAAAACACTACATAGAAAACAGCTAAATGCCAGACTAAAGACAACCCTCTAGGATTCTAAAAACAAAGGAAAACAAACAAAAACAGATAAATATTATGAAGAATTTCAAAAATTTACATGTGTGAATCTTTTTTTTTTTTTTTTAAAGAGAGAGAATTTTTTAATATTTATTTTTTAGTTTGTTTTCGGCGGACACAACATCTTTGTATGTGGTGCTGAGGATTGAACCCGGGCTGCACGCATGCCAGGCGAGCGCGAGCGCGCTACCACTTGAGCCACATCCCCAGACCATGTGTGAATCTTAAAGTCCTTCATAATAACTTTCCTACACTCAGTCATGCAGACTAACAGTTATTATGAAAAGCCACTGAGCAAAAAGTTTAAAGAGCTCTGAAAATACTATTTTTGTTCAGAAAGTTTTTGCGTGGAAATGACTAATAATGTTCAAAAACACTTAGATGTAGGGATGCTCACTGGAGTGCAGCTTATATTTTAAAAAATTTGCAAACAAATATCCCACTTGATAATCCTGATATGCTACGTGCTGGAACACCATTCAACCTTTTAAAATCAGGCTGGAGAACTGATTTTCAAGAAACTGACTTCATTTCAGAATGAAAAGAAGTTTCCTATACACTACCTAGTGGGAAAAAAAAAAAGAGTAAACATTCACTTTTCCCTAAATATATAAATGAATTTATTCTAAAATATTAATTAGTTTTATCTCCATTTGGAATTATGAATAATTTATAAAAATCATTTTTGTTTGTATGTTTTGATTTTTTTGAACATGTACCAATTGGGTAACTACTAAAAATAAAATGATGCTAATATTTTTAAAAAGTTTTTCCAAGTACGTTTAACTTGTTTTTTCTAAATGACATGCTGGGAAGAACACCTGGGAAGCCACACTACCTGCTTGTCAGCTTGAGGTTCTTAAGACAGGCTTCTGCTTGTGATGCCATGACCTGTAACTTAAACACTTCACTCTCCTTCCAGTTCTCCAGCACAGATACCTGCCAGTAGATTAGAGGATATCTAAGTATTTTACAAATGAAATCCTGAAACTATTTTAAGAGTTAAAACTTAAACATTCCAAACCATTTTTTCCTTAAGTAAGATCTGATGACAGGAACACCAGAACTTGATTATGTCATTTTCCCAGGCAAACACAAATTAAAACTTTGGGATTTGAAAACAGAATAACAAAATGACACTAAAATTCTGTGCTTCAGGATCATTCTTGCGGATATGAAATTGTATATGGCTTTCTGCTTAAACCATAGACAAAACAGAACCAGGTTAATTGCATGCAACTATGGAATGGGGTTATCTACAGTCCTGGCCCATGGTGAGGAAGGGCCCAGAGACCCACAGAATAAAACCTGAGGCTGTACATTCCCAACCAAAAAGCCTCTAAGAAGTTGTTTCAGCATTAACACAATCAGCCTTTGGGGAATGCTTTCAAACTTTTGGACTTCCCCATAGTCAACTTGCCATTTTTGCAAAAATCACTGCAGGAGATGTAAAATAGTCTCATTTTAATTCAGTTCTCAGTAACCTTGACAGCATCCTCCAGGCAAATTGGTTTGCCAAGCAGTGATAAATGTGAATCAAACAAATTTAGGAATATAGACACTGGGGTAGGGCCCACAAAGTATTTGTACTTTCACTCTTTCCCCAGAAGCAGTAACAAGGGTCCATATTTAATTGAAAGGTCTAATATTTGCAGACTACATAAGTTAATTGTTTTTTTTATTTTCCCAGAATAATCATAGATACATATACCAATACATATCATTTGTTTCTCAGATAGCTTGATGTTCTTAAGACAGGCTAGAAAAACATACATAAAATAAAAATAAAGCCAGACGTTGTCTTTTAATTTTTGTCTCAGTAGTTTCTCAAATAGTACAATAACATTGGTATATATTCTTTTAGGGGGAGGGAGGAATATATTCTTAATAAGGAGGTTATTTTCATTTGCTTTTTAAGAACTGGCAAATGTTTTATGGTTGCCTACATTTTTATATCACTTGATTAAATATGAAGCTATGCAAAATGTGGAGTATGGGAAATGACTGAATTATACTGTCAAGGAAAACAGGTTACAAAATCTGATGTACATTATGTAACAAAGCATGCATAAAAATTAGAAAGGAATAGCCAAGGAAAAAGAGTGGATATTTTAGGGAAAAAGGATTATGAGTAATAGGATAACCCTAACCTCCATACTTGCCAATAATACAGTTATGCCTCACATGTAATTAAAGAGACCCAACAGTAAACAAATGAAACCCTTCCATCCACCAGTCATAACCTCACCTCTGCAGCCACGGCTCTTTGATGACTCTCTTCATAATGCTCTTTCCCTTTCTTTATACATTCTTCTATTTTCATCTTCTCATTTGTAAATGTATTACTGCAAATGTTAAAAGAAAAAAAAAAACTTTAAAACAAATCTAGGGAGTAAGGATACAAAGGTTTTAGGACAGCTTTCTACATTTTCTAGAGTAACTTCCTGCCTCATATTTTACCACACAACACACAGATTCATATGCATTCTCTGAACTTCATGAATGATCAAAAGAAGAAATGAGTATTTGGTAGGAATGCTGAGAAAGAAGCGAAGGTTCTGTACAGGTCACTAGTTTTATGAGAGTAGGTAGAGTATAATCTGGTTACTTTGATAAACTTTATAAAACTTCCTTCACCAGCCAGAAATTCTATTCTCACACAAGGAAATGATCCCAAAGAGTAAAGTGATCTGTACAAAACTGATCATGGCCATACTTTTGTAACAGCTAAAAAGTGTCAGTGAAAGTGGTGGCTAAAAAAGATGACTATGGACCATGATGGGAATAGAAATGTGCATGTGAAACAATATTAAATGAGAAAAGCAAAATGTGACTGCTTATCACTAATACATTGATCACAAGTATGTGAAAACATATAAGGACAATTAATAAAGATTACAAGGAAATTTTTTGCAGCTTTATAATTAAAAAAAATTTTTTTAAATTATTTTTTTGTATTGGGGATTGAACCCAGAAGCACTTTACCACTGAGCTACATTCCAATCCCTATTTTATATTTTATTTAGTGACAGGGTCTCACTGATTTGCTTAGCACCTCCCCATTGCTGAGGCTAGCTTTGAACTCATGATCCTCCTGCCTCAGTCTCCCGAGCCACTGGGATTACAGGTGTGTGCTACCATGCCCAGCAACAATTTTTAATAAACATATAATTACAGACTAACAATGTAAGAAACTATCATTCTATAGCTGAGTAACATACAAGAAGTTTTTCTGTGATGCAGGGACAGAACCCAGGCCTTCATACTTGCTATGTAAGTGCTTCTACCACTGAGCTACACCCCTAGTCCAAAAATAAAAGTTTTTAAAACACATTTTTAGTTTCAATCAATTCAAGAAAATAAAAGGAACGATTGACAACAATATTTTTTATACTGACATAAAATAAAAGCAGAAACCTAATAAAATCAAAATACTTCAAAAATACACTTAAACATTAGTTTAAAAATAAAAGATACATAATTATTTAAAAGAAACGGGGGCAGGGGAGGAGCAACAGATTTAGAAGTCTTAGAATGCTTGTGCTTCTGAGAGTAAAAGTGTAAGAAGGTACTAAAAATAAATTTAAATTTCCTTTGCCTGATTTCAAGGGACTGATCCAGATGTAATTCAGGTTTGTTATCCATCCCATCATTTTTCGGGGTAGACCTATAAAAGCATAGTCACCAAATTTTAATTAATTTTCAGATTTTTTTCAATACAACTTTACACAGGAAAGCATATCTAGACACAGCATTCTTAAATTTTTTTTGTTTCTATATTTTGCTTCATTTCTAGTATCTTCTAATTCTAATCTAATCTTCTTCTAGTATCTCATTTAATTTTCTTCTTCAGTGCTTTTAATCTTTCTTGGATTTCTTTTTTTCTCTTGTTGCCATTTTTAAATTTATCTTTCCAATTAAGCAAGAATTTGGGGGTCATTTTCCTTGTAGGAAATTTTCCTTTATACTTGGAGCTGCTTCTTCACTCTAAGCCACCTGATTACTGGTAAATCACTACCTTGGTCCAGGATGCATGCCTCAGGTGGTTTTAACCCGAGGAAGCACAGGTAATGAGACATCATCATCAGGGGTTTTCATTTAGATTAGAACACATAGACTCTCAGTCAAAATGCAACCAGCCTCCTCCTCCTTAACAAGACTTGGAGTGAAATTAGAATATGCACACACACTCTCTGATAACCTTCAGACACAAAGTGAAAGTCTCTGACTTAAGCGATGCCTAAACCAGGCAGATTCTGCCTCTTTCATGCTCTCCTAATATTCCTATTTAGTTACTTGTACTTGATAAAACCCCTCACGTTTCCAATAATAGTCAGTTTAACTGCCATCCCAGAAGAATAATGGTCTAGCTGAACTCAATCCAGATCGCAGGAACATGAGCAAATAAAATGGCTATTAACTTTAGCTACTGACTTCGAATGTTTGTTACACCACAGTGGATAAGCTGAGGAATCACATGACAACACTCACTGTTTAGAGCAGGAGGTTAGGAATGGATCACAGGGGATATAAAAAAACACACTTGGCCCTCTTGACAGTTATGCTCAGGATCTATACTCTAGCAAATTCTTCATATTAATAAGACCAAATTTTAATAATTTACAGATCCATAATAAAAGTATGAGTGAAGTAATCATCACAGAATTTTAGTGCTGGAAAGAACCTTAGATCTAGTCAGCCCCCTAATTTTACCAATGAGGAAAAAGAAAGTCAAAGGTAATGTTCATAGTGAGAATGGTGTTCATATGAACAGGACATCAATTCCTTTGTGTTCACATGAACAGGACATCAATTCCTTTGTTGATTCTCAGGCCCAATCCATTCTCACTTTTACAAAATTAATTTGAAAACATTATAAGTTTGAAATAGTTTTAGATGAGATCTCAATGGATGCTTTTTAAAATGAGATAAAAACACTGTGAAAACAGTATCTATCAATTTTGCCTTGATACAGTTTGAAATTTAATATAAAAAAGTGAAAATAATAAAAATCCCACAATATTAAAAAAAAGCAAGGATTATTGATTTCTATTGTTACTTACATTTCACTTGTATTTAAAACCTTTTTAATTTTCTTCTTCAGTGCTTTTAATCTTTCTTGGATTTCTTTTTTCTCTTGTTGCCATTTTTTAATTTCTCTTTCCAAATCTTGGAGGAACCAATCTAATTCTGTCTTTGAGATCTAAAAACATTTTAGAAAGTACTTTAATTAATGACAAGATTTAGTTTTACTTAGCTTACACTAAGACACCTGAGTTCAAGGGAACAGTACACATAAACTTGCACCTATGCAGGCTATGCCCCTGTGGCCAGCCATGGGATAGAGACAACACAGCTGCATCCTAACCACTAAGTGCATCTGACCCCAGGAAGGTTACACTGAAGAACCACTTCAACGTGCCCACAGGTATTCACACTCCACTCTTCAGTCTACATGATTCCCCAATCTAGACATAATTTGTACGTTTATTTGACAAGTCCGAGGTTTTTTTGTTTGCTTTTAAAAATATGAGTGAGATGCCTCTGGAAGCTTTTAAAAATATTTATTTATTTATTCTAATTAGTTATACATGAAGCATTTCAATTCATAGTACACATAGAGAGCACAATTTTTCATGTCTCTGGTTGTACAAAAAGTAGAGTCACACCATTTATGTCTTCATACATGAGTACTTTATATATCCTAAAGATTAGTGCTCTACCTGATGTACGTGTGGTGAAAATTTGCTCACATTCTGTAGGCTCTCTTCACCTCACTGATTGATTCTTTTGCTGAGAAGAAGCTTTTCAGTTTGAATTCATCCCATTTATTGATTCCTGATATTATTTCTTGCACTGTAGGAGTCTTGTTAAGAAGTCAGGGCCTAATCAGACATGATGAAGATTTAGGCCTACTTTTACTTCTATTAGGCGAAGGGTCTCTGGTTTGATTCCTAGGTCCTTGATCCACTTTGAGTTGAGTTTTGTGCATGGTGAGAGATAGGGCCTTTGTTTCATTTTGCTGCATATGGATTTCCAATTTTCCCAGCACCATTTGTTGAAGAGGCTATCTTTTTTTAAAAAATATTTTATCTTTTAGTTGTAGTTGGACGCAATACCTTTATTTCACTTATTTATTTTTTTATGTGGTGCTGAGGATTGAACCCAGGGTCTCACACGACTGTGGCGAGTGCTCTACTGCTGAAACACAACCCCAGCCCGAAGAGGCTATCTTTCCTCCAATATATGGTTTTGGTGTCTTTGTCTAGTATGAGACACCTGTATTTATGTGAGGGTTTGTCTCAGTGTCCTCTATTCTGTATCATTGGTCTACAAGTCTATTTTGGAGCCAATATCATGCTGTTTTTGTTACTGTTGCTCTGTAGTATAGTTTAAGGTCTAGGATAATGATGCCACCCATTTCACACTTCTTGCTAAGGATTGCTTTGGCCATTCTGGGTCTCTTATTTTTCCAGATGAATTTCATGATTGCTTTTTCTATTTCTATGAGGAATGTCAATTAAGATTTGATTGGAATTGCATTAAATCTGTATAGTGCTTTTGGTAGTACGGTCATTTTGACAATATTAATTCTACCTATCCAAGAACAAGGGAGATCTTTCTATCTTCTAAGGTCTTCTTTAATTTCTTTCTTTAGCATTCTATAATTCTCACTGTAGAGGTCTTTCACCTCTTTTGTTAAGCTGATTCCCAAGTATTTAATTTTTTTTTTGAGGCTACTATAAATGGGGTTGTTTTCCTAGGTTCTCTTTCAGAGGATTTGTCACTGATGTACAGAAATGCCTTTGATTTATGGGTGTTGATTTTATATCCTCATTCTTGGCTGAATCCATTCATTAGTTCTAGAAGTTTTCTGATGGAATTTTTTGGATCTTCAAGGTATAGAATCATATCATTGGCAAATAGTGATAGTTTGAGTTCTTCTTTTCCTATCCGTGTCCCTTTAATTTCTTTCGTTTAATTCCTCTGGCTAGAGTTCCAAGAACGATGTTAAATAGAGGTGATCAAGGAGGGCATCCCTGTCTTGTTCCGGATTTCGGAAGCAATGCTTTCAACTTTTCTCCATTTAGAATGATGTTGGCCTGGAGATATGATCCTGTTACCCCTAGTTCTTCTAGTGTTTTGAACACAAAGGGGTGCTGTATTTTGTCGAATGTTTTTTCTGCATCCACTGAGATGATCATATGATTCTTATCTTTAAGTGTCTATTGAAGGCATGTATTTATTTCCTATGTTGAACTAACCTTACATCCCTGGGATGAACCCCACTTGATTGTGGTGCACTATCTTTTTGATGTTTTTGTATTCAATTTGCCAGAATTTTATTGAGAATTTTTACATCTATGTTCATTAGAGATATTGGTCTGAAGTTTTCTTTCTTTGATGTGTCTTTGTCTGGTTTTGGAATCAGGGTGATACTGGCCTCAGAGACTGAGTTTGGAAGTGTTCCCTCTTTTTCTATTTCATGAGATAATCTGAGGAGTACTGGTATTAGTTCTTCTTTGAAGGTCTTGTAGAACTCAGCTATGTATCCATCTGGTCCTGAGCTTTTCTTCGTTGGTAGACTTCTGACAGTGTCTTCTATTTCATTGGTTGAAACTGATCTGTTTAACTTGTGTATATCATCCTGATTCAGTTTGGACAAATCAAATGACTCCAATCTGTCGATGCCGTTGATATTTTCTATTTTATTGGAGTACAAATTTTCAAAAAAAATTTCTAATTATTTTCTGCATTTCTGTAGTGTCCATCATGATATTTCCTTTTTGATCACAGAGTTTAGTAATTTGAGTTTTCTCTCCTTCTCTTCATTAGCATGGCTAAGGGTTTATCAATTTTATTTATTTTTACAAAGAACCAAATTTCTGTTTTGTCAATTTTTTAAATTGTTTCTTTTGCTTCAGTTTCATTGATTTCAGCTCTGATTTTAATTATTTCTTGTCTTCTTCTGCTTTTGGTGTTGATTTGTTCTTCTTTTTCTAGGTCTTTGAGATGTAGTGTTAGGTCATTTATTTACTGACTTTTTCTTCTTTTAAGAAATGAACTCCATGCAATGAACTTTCCTCTTAGCACTGTCTTCATAGTGTCCCAGAGATTTCGATATGTTGTATCAGTGTTCTCATTTATCTCTAAGAAGTTTTTTAATCCTCTTTGATGTCTTTTGCAACCAATTGTTCATTCAATAGCATATTATTTAGTCTTCAGGTGTTGGAGTATCTTCTATTTTTTTATTTTATCAATGATTTCTAATTTCATTCCATTATGATCTGATAGAATGTAGGGTAGTATCACTACGTTTTTATATTTGCTAAGAGTTGCTTTGTGGCATAATATATGATCTATTTTAGAAAAGGATCCATGTGCTGCTGAGAAGAAACTGTATTCACTCATTGATGGATGAAATATTCTATCTATGTCTAAATTATCAATTATACTTTTGAGTTCTTTAGTTTCTTTGTTTAGCTTTTGTTTGAAAGATCTATCCAGTGGTGAAAGAAGTGTGTTAAAGTCACCCAGTATTATTGTGTTGTGGTCTATTTGACTGTTGAACTTGAGAAGAGTTTGATGAATGTATATGCTACATTGTTTGGGGTATATATATTTATTATTGCCATATCTTGTTGATGATGTATGCCTCTCTTAAGTAGTATGAAATGTCCTTCTATATCACTTTTGATTAAATTTGGCTTAAAGTCTGCTTTATTTGATATGATAAAAAACAAATAAATAAAATAGAGCCTGGAAATCCCTTTTTGTTTCTGAAGTCCATGTGAGTGGTATGTTTTTTTCCCAACCTTTTGCCTTCAGTCTGTGGGTGTCTTTTCCTATGAGTCTCTTGAAGGGAGCATATTTTTGGGTCTTTTTTTTTTAAAAAAAAATCCAATATGCCAGTCTTTGTCTTTTGATTGGTGAGTTTAGGCCATTAACATTCAGGAAGACATGATTTGTTTTCCCATTTTTATTTTTGGTATTTAACTTGACTTGGTTCCTCCTTTGATTGGTTTTCCCTTTAGTGTAATACCTCCCTTTGCTGATTTTCATTGTTTTTTTTAATATTTATTTTTTAGTTGTAGTTGGATACAATACTTTATTTATTTTTTATGTGGTGCTGAGGATCGAACCCAGGACTTTGCACTTGTGAGGTGAGCGCTCTACTGCTGAGCCATAACCCCAGCCCGTCACTGTTGTTTTTCATTTCCTCCTCATGGACTATTCTGCCAAGCATGTTCTGTAGTGCAGGCTTTCAGGTTATAAATTCTTTTAACTTTTGTTTATCATGGAGGTTTTTATTTCGTCATCAAATCTATAGCTTAATTTTGCTGGATATACGATTCTTGGTTGGCATCCATTTTCTTTCAGAGCTTGGTATATGTTGTTCCAGGATGTTCTGGCTTTCAGGGTCTGAGTTGAAAAAATCGGCAGAGTAATTGGTTTCCCCTATATGTAATCTGGTTCCTTTATCTTGTGGCTTTTAAAATTCTCTCCTTATTCTATATGTTAGGCCTTTTCATTATAATGTAGTTTGGTGTGAATCTATTGAGATTTTGTGCATTTGGTGTCCTGTAAGTCTCTTTTATTTGATTGTCCAATCCATTCTTCATGCTTGAAAAATTTTCTGATATCATTTCACTGAATAGATTGTTCATACCTTTGGTTTGTAACTCTATGTCTTCTTCTATCCCAATAATTCTTAAATTTTTTTCTTTTAGAATTTTTTTTAGATGTAGATGGACACAATACCTCTATTTTACTGATTTGTTTTTTATCTGGTGCTGAGGATTGAACCCAGTGCCTCACACATGTTAGGCAAGTGCTCTGCCACTGAGCCCCAGTCCCAGCCCCAGCCCTTAAATTTGGTCTTTTGATGTTATCCCATAATTCTTGAATATTCTGCTCATGGTTTCTTATAATCTTCACTTGTGGTCAACATTCTTTTCAAGATTATATATTTTGTATTCATCATCTTGAGGTTCCGTCTTCCAAGAGTTCTCATCTGTTGGTGGTGCTTTCTACTGAGTTTTTAATTTGGTTTATTGTTTCTTTCATTTCAAGGATTTCTGTTTGGGGTTTTTTCAGAACCAGTATCTCCTTATTAAAGTAATCTTTTGCTTTCTGTATTTGCTTATGTAGCTCTACATTGAAATGATGTTTTGCTGCCTGTATTTGTTCTCTTATATCATCCTTTAATTCACAGAACATTTAAATTCTGTACATCCTGAACTCCTCTGTGTCATTTCTTCTGTTGTGCTGGCCATGGATTCTAATAATGTAGTATCTTGGTTTGTTTGGGGCACTTTCTTCCCTTGTTTTTTCATGTTCTTCCCTTCTTGCACTGCGGTCCGAGGCATTATATTTACCCTATAAGCTTATAGTGTCCCTGCAGCATTCCAATACCTATCTTTGATATTGCTTCTAAGCCCCAGCCGGTGTTCCAAGCTGGGGGTTACCCCAACTAAAGATGGCAATGAAGATGTCCCAAGATGGAAGTGGTTGCTTTCCCTATGGGGTGTCTGGTCAGGTGGGGTCGGGCAGTGGTGGTGGGTGGCCTGTTCAGAGATACAGCTGTGTGACATACAGTGTTATGGCTGAGGGCTGTGCGGTGTCCCTAGGTACAGGGAGTATGGCAGTGGTTGCAATGTCCCAAGATGGAGGTGACTGGGGAAGCCCCACATTGGTACACTATGGTCCACAAGGCAGTGGCGGCCAGAGTTTCTGTGCACGGGCAGCAGCCAGATGTCTTGCATGGAAACCATGGCCAGGATTACTGCGTGGGAGTAGCTGTCGGGGTCCTCTAATCACTCGCAGAGAAAAAGTATTCCAAGTCACTGAGCAACACAGAATGAGCCTCATTCTAGCCTGCCATCTTGGATCCTTCTCTGGCTTTTTATTAAAGGCGTTTGGGTTGGCTGTGTGATAAAGAGAAATGAAAATGTCTTCTGAGGTGATGTGAGTTCCTTTTCCTCTGGAGGGTCAGATTCAATGCCAACTGACACACAGCCCTTTTTGCCAGTTTCTTCTGCAGGTGCTACTTTTTGAAACATCTGAACTTACAAATGTTCTAAAAGTTTTTTGTCCTTTTTTGAAGCATCATCCATTCAATGGCAGTGAAGGATCTGGGTATGACACGTGCTCGTAAATACAGGGCACATATAAATAAAAAAATCTCTTAAGAAAGAGAATATGAATCAGAGCACTATTAAAAGAAATAGCTAAAAGCAACATGTTAAATATTTCCCAGCTTGAAATCCCACTATTATCAATGGTTGCTTAATGAAATCCTGACTTCATATTTGCTCTAGGGGAACATTTGATGTTTTACTTCCTGTCAGGTTCCCTACAGCTTGAACTTCCTCCTTAGGCTCAGAACATGTCTAAGACACCAGGCCTTCTTCCTCAGGAAGGACGCTGAATCCTAAAGTTATCACATAAAGACTTCATGGGAAATAATGGCCCTGGAGTCAGAAGTGATAGTGACTTAGAAGCCATTTCTCCATCTTTAGCCTTATGTATGCAGTTTCAACTTCTTGGGAAGCAGATTTGCTGGTTGGTCTGTCGCAAGCCATCCATGGGCTGTGTGACCTATGTGAATTTGAGCGTATGAGAGAACTGGTCTGGCGTTACGTCCTTTTTGGGCTGTGTGACACATGTGTGCTTTTTTTCTCACCCTGCCTGTGATCCCACACAGCACCTGAGATGGGTGTGACTTGCCAAGATGTCAATCTGTTGACCACAAGACACCATCAAGCAAGACTCCACTCTTTAAAACCCAATTCCTTGCCTTATTTAGGTGAAACTTTCTATTGAATGTCCTTACCCGATAAATAGAGGGGTTCGGATGTGCTTTCTTGCCCCCTTGCCTTCCAGTGTGGGAGCTGACAACTGAGGTCTCAGAGCTATCCCTGACCCCCCAAAAAGGTATTTCTGTGTTTGTGTGGTTTTTCAGTTGCCAACTTGGCCAGCTGGCTACAGTGGTTAAGTTCCCTTTTAAGACTGAGTCCTAACTAGAGGGAAGGTGATTTAGACAGCTGTGAAACACACAGCCTACTGTTCCTAAGTGGCATTGGTTCAACAACAGTTCAGTAATGCTCTCCAAATTTTGGAGACAAGTCCTGCCCACATTTTCCTTGCTAAAACCTTCTGATCCTGAATTTGTCAAGGCATTACTGTGACAGTAACTCCCCCAAATCTACTGTATTTACAAAATCTTATGGTCTACATGGTTCAATTCTACTCTCTAGACTGATGTTGATTTGCCTGCCTTACTGTTGGCAGCCTGGCCAACTTTGTTTCTTGCCTATCTTGTTTTTCCACTCTGAGCCACTGATCTCACTGTGGATCTAAACTCTTTGGCTGGGAGATTATGTGCAAAAACAAAGTTATGCTGGGGCATGAGGACCTACTTGGCAACAAGTATTTAAGGGAGGTCAGATAACAAAAGCCACAAAGTATTGCACCTACATGTATGCACGTGTACACACACACACACACACACCTCAGCCAATAAAAATACTACACAGGCTCATGTTTGTACTAACCACCCTTTAATGACATAGCTGTCTTATGTTTAATAAAGAAATACCATGGCTAAATTCTATCTGCTTTTGTGTAGATACCAACCAAAAAAAATCAGGTTAGCAATTTATCCTGACAGGAAATAGGTACATTTGGTAATCATAATAACCTTACAAGCCTATAATCTGAGGTACTAAATAACTGCCCTTTTAAAAAAAAGACTAACTTGAGTACAGCCACATGACAGCATATCCAAGGCTGTACCAAGTTAAAAAGCACAAGAGCCAGAGCCCAGCAGTCAGAGCTGCCACTCCATCACAGCCTTCTTCCCTGGAAGCTTTCTGTCCCATGAGCTTCCTGATCAACCATACAAACAACAGAGCCCTGGGTGGGAGGGTGGAGAATTTTAGTTCAGTAGTTTAAGACAATAGGGAGGTGGGGGGTGGGGATAGAAAAAAGACAGTGGAATGAATCTGACATAATTTTCCTATGTACGTATATAAAAATATCACAGTGAATCCCAACATCATGTACATCCTCAAGAATCTAACTAGAATAAGATATATTTCATGCTTGTTTAATGATATCAAAATGGATTCTACTGTCATAGCAAGCACCTAGTCAGACTACCAGTTTATAAAACTGGAAAAGCCTCTGCCAGAAAAAACAATTTCATTCATTAAACACCCACCCTTACATAAGTGTTCATTTCCCCAAATCTGCCTTATTACTCACACAGTGGCCACAGACATTCACACTGGATTTATAAAAACACTGAATTTGCCTGAGGCAATATAAAAAATATTTAATTCTGTTACACCTTCAACTGGTTTACTCAGACTTGTGTTCTGGGTGTCACACGCTAGACAGGCCTTTTTTTTTTTCCCCCCTTCCCCAACCAGACAATTAAGCAGAAAGTGTCTGCATCTAACTCTTCCCATCCTTGGAATCTCCTTAGTCCTGTCCTGAGTGCAAACAGTTCTTGGGAAATGTTATGGCAGTTACTTTTACAAACTAACCCTTTCTTCTGTGTATTCTTGAATCTCAACAAATGAGTTTCTTGATTAAATGTCCTACTAAGCTAATTTTCACTATTTAATGTGTTATTTTAGCTGGTAATCCAGACTTCTGAAACAAATTCTTCCCTTCTTAAATAATTAATCTCCTTCTGTTTCTGAACAGAAGATAGTTGTTTTTAAAAAGTAACAAACCAAAAGGAAAAAAAGTAATTTACCAATGTTCCTCACATCTATAATTCCACTGTCCCACAAATTGCAATCTGGCCTTTCCCCTAATTAGTACTGTTCCACTAGCCAGATCTTACTGATGGTCAATCTCAACTACCACAATAAATACCAGTATAGTCAAATAAGATACTTTAGATGAGAAGTTCTAACATCTCCAAGGCTCCCCATGAGTTTTGTCACATGTCCTTAGAAATAGATGAAGATGATGGTAATAACAGCAATAGTGATAATAGTGGCAGCTAATACTTACTGTGTCCTTACTTGTACCAGCCAGTTTTAAGTACTCTACAAGTGTTAATCTAAACCCATGAAATGGAGCAATTATTACCCGAATTTTTCACAAGGGCCCAGACAAGTTAAGCCATGTGCAGACTAGAACTATTTGAATAAAAACAGTCTGGAGCTATGCCCTGGAGCCAGACTGACAGCTCACACTTGGAAGCTCTGATACAGAGGCACAGGCAGAAATATAACTTGGAACTTAGTCACCTTGAGAGAGATTTTTACTTAACCAGGTAAACTGAATTATGGATAAACGAAAGCTAATGTTTACAGCCCTTTTCTTAAAACCAGATTGCAAAGGTTTTATAGCACTGCAAGGTACACTGTCACTTGAATATGCAGTACAGAAATTTGAAACAGACTGTTCTAAGAAAGAGTCTTCTCTGTTTAGCCAACGGTGTGGTTCAGCTAATGGAGGCTCATAAGCACAGTTATATGTTCCCAATTATGCCATATGCAATTAAGGAGGGCTTCAGACAGGATTACCTTGTTTTCTTCTAAGTTCCTTTTCAACTTTTCTTCCAGGTCTCTGGTCTCTTCTGAGCTGTTGAGTTTTATCTGCTCATAATTTTCACATGCTTCCTTAAGCTGCTCTTGTAATACTTGGTATTCCTTTTCAATCTGTGAAATATCCCCCTAAAATTAAAAATCATTTAAAATGCCTACTTATGAACTTGTTCTGAATTGTCTTTTAAAATAAACAAAAGAGAATAAAAGGAAGAGGAGAATTTACAAGGAAAATGTCACAATTCAGGAATTTAAAACCTCTAAACTTTGCTTAGTAGAGCCAGCTCTTAAAATATAATTAGTCATGTTACTGGAATTCATAATGAAACTTTTCAATCTGTACTATAATTGGTTGTGAATATTTGCTTGTTTTAGAAAGGTTCAGTATTAGAACAAGTTTCATTTGAATTTTACTGTATGATTAACATCACAAACTAGTAGGTTTTAAAAGATGATCATATATATGAATAGAACATAACATAACTTTGGTCCTACTTTTACATGTTTCAAATGCAGAGTTGCTGGTTATTTCAAAAAGATAAATTGTTATCAAGAATTGTTTCTAGCTATCTGTCTCATGAACCAGCTTCAAAACAAAAACCAAAACCCAGAAATCATACTATAATAAACATTACTATGTAAAGCTTTTTTTTAAAACAACGTTTTTGTGTCAATTTTTTTTATTGAGGTACAATTAACATACAGTAAGATTTGCCAATTTTTTTGTGTGTGCATGTGGTGCTGGGCATTGAACCCATGGCCTTGTACACGCGAGGCAAGCACTCTACCAATTGAGCTATATCCCCAGCCCCTATTATGTAAAGCTTTTTTAAAACCTCTTATACACCTAGGGCTGCTGGCGATTATACACTTCTATTATGAGAATATCTGCTGGATGCTCAAAACTTCTCCCAGCTGCAGGAGACTGCCCTCCTGTGACAGCCAGGTTTCAGAGATCTATCTCAAAGGCACAAAACTGGGCCATCTTCGATATTTCCTTTATCTCCCCACAATACCTGAGCATCTTCCAAGTGTAAAAAGGCAGGGAATCAAGTATTTATAATTTTGTGATTTATCAGAGAACTGTTATCTATAACACCTGACAGTCCACTTTGAAAAGCCCCATTTATGTCTGTACAGATTGAGAGTTTAGTACTATGAACAGACTTGATGTTTAATTAACAGATTAAATGTTCAACCTTGCGACCCACAAGCAAGATTTTATAGTTTAAGATCTTAGTTATCTCTATTTTCATTCTTAATTTGTCAAAAGGATCCCAATCAATAGCAACCTAGTACTATGAATTAAATTTATATGCCCCCATATCATCACAGAGTAGGTAAGAAATTAAGTGCCACCTCTACATTATTACATATAAACTTTGAAATACATTATTTTTGCCTTTAATCAGAAAAACAAAGATTAGGGATGTGTGCCAACTTCTCAAGGTCTGAGAAGAAAGCAGAAGCCCTGGGATTCAAATGCAAGTCTGATTGAGAAACCAGCAATCAGCTAGGTTAGTGTCATGGTCCTGAAACTAAGAACTAACTTAAGAAGGCACGTGTGAATAGCATTAAGTGCAACATAAAAATTCAACACCAGTCCCTCTGCTCAGTATATACTATATAGGCAAAAATATTCACTACAGCACTATTTATAAGCATGAAAAGCTGATATAATCTAAATGTTCAATAATAAGAAATCAGTCAAATAAATTATCATACATTCATATAATGGAATACCAAATATCTGTTTAAAATGACAGTATACATCTAAGATTATCAACTTGTCTGTTTACTAAAAATCTGTAATACATTAATAAAAGACTACAAATTTCAAATGTAATTTATATGTGGTGATCCATCTTTTAAAAAATGCTGCTTAATTATATGCAAATGTTCAAGTAAGGCCTGAAAGACTACACATCAAAATATTAACGTGAGATAAATGTAGATGATTTTAACTTCTTTTTCATAATTTTCAATAATATTCATTTAAAAATACTTAGGGGTTCTATATTACTTTTATAAATGGCTAAAACTATAAAGCCTTTTATTCAAATAGTGGCAAGCCACACAAAGTTCTAACATTACTTCTTCCTATTTAACTATATATTGGGTTTTGTAAATCATTTAACTATCAGTAATTATAGAACTGCCTAATTGTTAAATGACAGCATAATATTTCACTATATAGAGGCTGGGGGATATAGCTCAGTTGGAAGAATGCTTGCCTCTCATGCACAAGGCCATGGAGTCAATCCCCAGCAGCTAAATAAATAAATAAATAAATAAGCAAGCAAGCAAGCATTGGAATACTGAGATAAAAAAATTTTTTTTTCACTATGTAGATTTATCATAATTTAGTCTACTACTAATATATGTTTGAATTGTATTCATTTCTTGCTGGTTCAAATACAGCAAAACAAATATACAAATATCCTTGCTCACTGGTCTCTACATACAAATATGCATTCAGACAAATTACACATTGCCTTCCCCAGATATTTTCATTTTATTATCATCTAATAACACATAAATGAATACTTTTCTTATTTCATGTGTGGTTATTTTTTAATGTCTAAAAATCATCTCTCTCTCTATTTTTTACTATGGATTGTCTATTTAGTTCCTTTACCATTTTTGTGATAGGTTGGTAATCTTTTACTTATTTATAGAAACTTTACATGTTAACGAAATCAGTTCTCTATCTGTACCAGTTTCAGATAATTTTCCAGGTTTGTCATCTGTTTTCACATCCTGTGCATATAATGTTTGTTCTTTTTTTAAAATATTTTTTAGTTGCTGGTGAACCTTTATTTTCTTTAATTATTTATATGTGGTGCTGAGAATCGAACCCAGTGCCTCTAGGCAAGCACTCTACCAATGAGCCATAACCTCAACCCTACATTTGTTCATATATAAAGAGATAGATAGATAGATAGATATATGCTGTGCACACATACATCCACATTATGTAAGTATATGTATATAAACATCGACTTGTGTGTGTTGTATTGATCTTATGAAAACATTTTCCCAGGTATTTTTATGGGTCCATTTCTTTATTTGTAAGTCTTTGATATGCCTGGAATTAATTTTGGTATAAGGAAGGAGGTAGAAACTTAAGATAATGGGTTTCCATTTCACCTAACATTATGTATTTAATAATCTACTTTTTGCTCACTGCTAATTTACCATCTTTAGTATAGCTTAAATTTCTATATTATTCTATCCTATTAGACTCTCATCTAATGACCTATTTATGTGATATTAAGATTTTTTGAAATCTAGCACAATTCCCCTTCTTATAATTTCTTTTCCTTGGTCATTCCTTTTTTTTTTTTTTTTAATATTTAGTTTTTAGTTGTAACTGGACACAATATCTTTATTTTATTTATTTATTTTTATGTGGTGCTGAGGATCGAATGCAGGGCCTCTCATGTGCTAGACGAGCACTCTGCCACTGAGCCACAACCCCAGCCCCTTCTTGGTCATTCTTGATATTCATTTTTCCATACAGGAACTTTTTAATCAATTTGTCTAGTTCCAAATAAATACTGTGCAGTAGCCAGCCGCCAGACTCCAAGTTTAGGTCCCAGTATCTTAGCCTCTTGGTATTCACACCCTGAGACAAACCTTTCCTACCAGGTATCAGGGCCGATGAGTTGGGTCTTTGTGACTGACAGAATACAGGGGAAACGATTAAGTATGACTTCCTAAAGTAGGTCATAAAAGCTATTGCACTACATTGAGGTCTGCAAGGTAAGGAAATGAAGGCTCCTACCAACTGCCAGCACCAACTTGCCAATCATGCGAGAGAGACATCTTGGAACTGGAATCTCAAGCCCTATTTACTCCTGCAGATAACTAAGCCCTCCCTAGTCCAAATCTCTACTGTAACCTCATGAAGATCTCCAGATCTACCCAGCTAATCTGCTCCTGAGTTCCTGACAAAGAGAAACTGTAAGATAATGTTTTAAGCCACTAGATTTTGAAGTAATTTGTTATATTACAATAGATAACCAATACACTTTGTTCATGTGTATCAGAATTGTGTTAAATTTCAAATCTCTGTTACAATAGGTCTTCCCATCCAAGTGTACAGAATACTATTTCATTTACATCTTCTGTATATCTCTCAGTAGCATTTTAAAGATTTTTTTAAACATATAAGTTTATCATTTTGTTATTAAAAATGGAATATTTTTTTCTAATATACATCCTAATAGATTGTTGTTAGTACACACACAGGTGCTTATTTTGTATTCAGTCACCTTTCTGAATTCTTTTAATTTGGTATAGATTTTCAGTTATCATTTTGAATTTCCAGGTATACAACCTTAGCCTCTATAATTAATGATACTTACACTTCCTCTTTTATAGCTTATTTCTTTCTCAGATCTAATTTTGTCAGTATCTCAGGGTAATAATAAATACTAATGAGAATGTTTTGCCTTTAAGCAAGATGATGGCTTTTAGCTTAAGAGAAAAAGCTTGCTAAGAAATACTCGATTCCCATTTTATTAAAACTTTTGGTCAAAAAAGGGACTGGGACTTGAATTTTATCCAATACCTTTTCAGCAAAAGTTGATCAAGTAACTTTTGTTCTTTGACATTTAAAAAAATATTTATAGTTGTAGATGGATACAATACCTTTATTTACTTTTTTGTGGTGCTGAGGATCAAACCCAGTGCTCACACATGCTAGGCAAATGCTCTACCACTGGGCTATACCCCAGACTTCCTTTGAAATTTTAACAAAGTATATTACATTAACGGGTTTTTCTAACTGAAACATTCTTAAAATGATAAAGGTCTTTATAATATATTTACATATCATTCAAGCTTATTTATTATGAATTAATACATGCTCATTATACCAGTTAAAACAATAAAGCCATTATACTTAGAAATAAATGATAGGAAAAAACTTAGCTTTTCCTTTGCTTGCTTGCTCTTCTCATATTTCAACAATATAAGCAACTTAATTTTTTTTTATTGTATCCTAAAGTTTATTCCAGAACTGTATAAAATTAGCTAACTCCAAAGTAGTTGTAATTCATCATCCCATCTAGATAAATTAATGAAAATCAAATCTTTAAACAGTTTAATACAATTTTGACTCACCTGTTGTATCTCAAAAGGATCATATGGCTCAGTGTTAACTTCTTGGTTTGTTATGTTCCAAGACACCTATGTTGCAAAATAAACAAATTTAATTTACCTCAATTGATATGGTAAAACAAATTTGCCATGTAATAACATTTTAAAACACACCCACAATTTTTCAAGGTTTTGGGTCCCCTTACCAATTAAGGTTATGTTTCATAGAATTAGTATAACTGAAAATGTCAGTTCACTATTCTTGTTTTTAAATTTTTTTTTTTAAATCTTTTATTTGTAGATGGACACAACACAATGCCTTTATTTTTATGTGGTGCTGAGAATCGAACCCGGGTCCCTCCCATGCTAGGCGAACACTCTACTGCTGAGCCACAATCCCAGCCCCAAGTTCATTCCTCTTCATTATTATTTTTTCAGAGTTCCCTGGAAAATAGAAAACTTCAGAAGAGGTGCAATTTGATAAGGATTTAATGTATTCACACCCTAGAAAGGAACACTGATTTATTTTCATGCTTGTTAGATAGGAACACTTAATTCCTCATTTCTCTCCACCCGATTTTTTTTCCCCCTCTTTATACTGTTGACTGAACCCAGGGATATTACCATTGAGATACGGTCTCACTAAGTTGCTAAGGCCAGTCTCGACCTTCTGATATTATTCCTGCCTCAGCCTCTGGAGTCGCTGGATTATGGGTATGTTCCACTATGTCTTGCTACTTGTCTCTTTTTTAACTTTCCCAATACTCCAGACTTTTCCTTTTTTCTTTCCCAGGGAAGCTGCCAGCAAATTTTCCCTTCCTCCCCCATGCAATAGTCCTATGGGAAGATACCCTAAGTGGGGAGGCCTCCTATTTGGGTTCTGCTGGAACTACTGGGTAAGTGGGTGAGATAAGGACTTTATTGTTTGCATATGTACTTCTCTATAGCAGTGGCCACATCCTCCTTTTGTGTCCTTATTAATTATGAAGGCAATATTTTGGCTCCATCTGCTGACTCATTAACCTTATTTCTTATTTGGTGTAAAATGTGGTCAGGGAAGAATAAGATTTCCTGGGCCAAAACTTCTTTCTGACAAAATTACCCACCATGCCCCACAAAAGAATTCATACTTTAAAAATATTTTCATGCAAAAACTTCAGTAACCATTATAAAGCCAATAATTTCTAAGAACATTAGTAAATAAAATGGTGATTAAAAAAAAAAAAGGAAAATACACCTTTCTCTTTAAATCTTACCTGTACAGCAACCATCTGTGTATGTGGAATATTTGTTAGGGCACTGGACCTTTCTGGACTGACTTCACATTTGTTTTTAGAGTTCCCACAGTGCCCATCATTTCTGTGAGACTCACTTGGGGCTGTACCAGCATCACCCAGGCTGCTCTGTGACTTTACATGTATTCCCAAAGAGTCCTCAAGGATCTGTGTTTCAGAGACAATCTGGTTACCAGCAACATTCTTAGCATTTAAATTGTGATCCTCAAAATAGGCAGCAGTGTTTTTATCAGCTTTGTCACTGGCTACAAGAGATGGCACCACTGGTATCGATCTCTGCAGCTGATATTCAGAAGAAATGTTGGCCAAAGGTGTGTAAATGCTGGTGTACTGGGGCAAACTTGGTAACACGTTTATGTATGTTGGTGGTGTCTGGGTGATGTCAAATCCCTGAAAAGGAAGATATGTACAGTATCCTGTGACCAAGTGAGATTGAGTCCAATAGGTTGGTTTCCCATCCTCGGAAACTGGTTTGAGAGAATGAGAGGAGACTTGTTTGTGATTTACATCCTCAGGGACTGATATGGGAGAATCAGAAGAGACCCCTTGGGGTTTCTCATTCTCAGAAACTGGACTGGAATAACTATCAGGTACTGATTTGGGTGTAATGTCTTCACAAGTTGGTTTGGGAGAATCAGCAGACACAGGTTTGGGCTTCACATCCTCAGAAACTGGTGCTGAAGACAAATCAGACACTGGTTTGGACTTTACATCTGGTTTAAATTCCCTAGCAGTTGGATTCAGTGGTAGTTTGACTCGTAAATACTCTCCTGTTTTTGAAATTTCTTCCACTTTTGTTTTAATGTTTTTCTTCTTTCTTTTTTTCTTCAGTCGTAATGCAACTTTTTTTAATGCAATACAGTTGTCAATCACAACAAAACGAGGACATCCCAGGAGAAAAGATTTTAAACCTCCTGCTTTTTCTAGTATCTGTCGAGTTTCTTCTGGGAAAAACTCATATTCTTCAGAGAACATCTTGTTACTCATATCCAAGGGACCATGTTCCTCCAACAACTGAGAGAAATAACTTGGAAAAAATTTACATTTATATAAGTTACTAAGCGGAAATACTTGCACATATTTATTTTTATAAAAGTTTATTCTCCCAAAGCAAAATACTATTTTACTTCTCACTGATCTCAAATGCTCTCCAAAGACAAATAAAAGGTTAAGTATAATCAATGTTACAATAAATAAAACTGTCTACCCCTTAGAAAATAATCCTTTAAAGCTTTTTTTGGGGAAAAGCCAAAGGAAATCAAAAAGTTATTTTTAAATTTTAATTATATAATTATGCAATCTCTTTAAAAAGCAATGAACAAGCAAAATTTATTCAGAAATACCATGGTCAATAACAAGAATGTCACAAGAGAAGAGAAAATCAAATCTTTAAAAAATCCTATCTCAATTTGCATACAGTAAATCTATTAACATTTTTCTGATTAGGAATGTGCAATGATTCACAAGGAAAAGGAAACTGCTCTTATAATTCAGCAATGAGGTACCAATCACAAAGGGGATCAGCAACACAACTGATGGACTCCGATCCAAGTAATGATTACCAAGCAGCTAGGAAGTCACAATTCTGAAGAATATGTAATTCTTCTCATGTAAGTTTGACTCAGTGATACTCTTTAATATTTGTTATGGGGAACAAAACTACATAGTCCAATGAATGTTTTAATTTTTTAAAAAAGAGTCTATATACCATTCTACTGTTGTAAAATACCCACCATATGTAATTAGGTAAAAAAAGCAAATGACAACTAAGTAACTTAGGGCCTTACTAAGTTGCTGAGGCTGACCTCAAAACTTGTAATCCTCCTGCCTCAGCCTATGAGTTGCTGGGGTTATAGATGTGTGCCACTCTGTCTGGCTAGAAAAAAAATCTTCAAAGAAAAAAAAAACAGTCCATGTTTTTTTCTAATGCTAAGCAGCAATGAATTTTTCATATATTCAAGCAGAACAAAATGTAATTCGACAAGGATTTTTAGCTCAAAGAGAAATGGTACTATAACCATACTATGAAGAACATTTTTATAGTTACTATTATTTGAAAACTACAAAATGAATTTTTACTCTATATTTAGACTCTTCTAGTCTTAGTATACATAGGGTCCAAAATAGCACAAATATGATTTTTTCATAATCTAGTGTTTTACAAGGGTTAGAATCAAGTCTCTCAACAGTGCACATTAGTACTGGTGTGGCTGTTCAGTAAAGATGAAAGAAGTTATAGTGAAAGATGCTAAATACAACTGAGATGATGAGGCTCAAGATCATTTCAGTTTCTGCAGTTTAAGAGATTTCTCTTCTCTTTCAATATCTGGCCCCCATCAAATACCTCAGACTCTAAAAGGACTAGTATTCCTATACCTAACCAGAGACGAAGAAGTAGACACATTGTATAAGAGTAAAAAATAATAATAAAATCAATTACATCAGGGATATTAATAGTTGCTGTATATATATATCTGCATGTTACTCTGTGTATATACAACATTTTCATAATTTGATGATCATCACTATTATCTCAAGTGGTCAAAGAAGGACTTGCAGAATGCCAGGGCATGTCACCATCAGCACAGGGGAAAGGACAAGGATGGGAAAGACATTTCAAAGGACATTCCCATTCTGCTATTCTGAGAGTACCCTTTGAAAATCATGTTCATGATTCTTATTTCAAAACATCACCTTCATGTGTAATACACTGTGAAACTACCAAGGATCACCTTGACTCTCCTTTATGCTGAAGGGCTACATGAGAGACCTCTGCCCTATACTTCCCTCAAATCTGCAACAGCACTTAACCTTATGTGGCTAATCTCGGCTAACACTACTGAGGTGCTATTAGGAAACAATAAAGGCAAAGTACCTGTTTCAACTACATAAATCATAAAATGTTACAAAAGGCCTTTAAAAAGAAATTAGGCTAAATTCCTATTTTAAGATGTTACACAATGGGGCTGGGGTTGTGGCTCAGAGGTAGAGCTCTCGCCTCGCACGTGCGAGACCCTGGGTTCAATCCTCTGCACCACATAAGAATAAATAAGTGAAATAAAGGTATTGTTTCCAACTACAACTAAAAAAATAAATATTTAAAAAAGATGCTACACTAAAGTCAAGAAAAGCTTAATTTATAATAGTTACCCCATATTCTTGACTCCTTGTCCAATATTTTTCTACTCAACATTCTTTTCAGATATAAAAGTTTAATTTTAATTTCCTTTTATACTTAGCCAATAAAATAAGCCATCATTTTTAAGCCATCATATGTTTACTTTTTTTAATTTGGTACCAGGGATTGAACTCAGGACCATTAACCATTGAGCCACATCCCAACCCTTTTTACTTTTTATTTTGAGACAGGGTCTCCCTAAGTTGCTCAGGGCTACACTAAGTTGCTGAGGCTGGCCTTGAACTTGCCATCCTCCTGCCTCAGCCTCCTGAACCTCCAGAATGTTAGCTGTGCACCACCACACCCAGTTTACTTTAGAAATTTCAAGAATTAGGTTTTAAGATATACCTTCCTATAACTTCTACGTTTTCTACTATGATAAAATATAAAATTTATCTCAAAAATAAAAAAAACAAATCAGTCTACTTTTTTCTCATAAATCTGTTTAATTTCTTCCCACTTACAGTGGCAATAAATTCTTTAAGATAAAAGCTACTAAAAAATTACATATTTTAGCTTCAGTTTTGGATGCTTGAAGCAAATTCCAAGATATTTTAAGAATACCAGTGTAATTTTATAGGTAAATATTTTGTCATCTAGGAGTCCTATGGAAATATGATTTGCTCAGTATTTCAATTCTAAGGAAAAATCACAAAAACTAAACCCAATTTTAACTAGACTGAATGACAATAATGGGTTGAAGAAAAAAGAAGAAATGACCATACTATGACTGAGTGACAGATTTTTCAGGAAAATAGTTAGTTTTAAAATTAATTTCCTAATAGAGATCCTAACCCTCAATTTCTTAAACAAAGCCTTGTGTACTGCTTATTAATGCCAATCTCAGAATGGTAAGCGGTTCCCTAGATTTTCCCAAACTCTTTATTTGATTATTTAATCCACCCTACTCAAACTTCAATTGTTAAATTTCGCATTCATATTTTCAATCCTAAAGTAACTCACACCCAGTCACTTAAAAATGAAAGTATGTTGGGGCTGAGGGTGTGGCTCAGCAATAACTTGCCTGAGATATGTGAGGCGCTGGATTCGATTCTCAGCACCACATATAAATAAATAAAATAAAAGTCTATCAATAACTAAAAAATATTTAAAAAAAAAAAAGGAAAGTATGTTTCTCTTTTACGTCATTTTCAGGAAGTCCAGTCTCTAGTAGAAGACAGGATTCTCTATTTGTACTATTAATACAGCTGAACAATTATAATCCAAGCTGAAGTACTAACAGCATCCTAGGATTCTTTCCCCCAATAAAAAGGGTAATACTTCACCAAGCTACATAATTGAGATGCTGCATTTTGAGATGCCAAGCCACTGCATCCTTCAACATAAGAACAATGAGACCAAATAATCATATTATTCTGTCAAATGAATACCTAGGAATTCATGATAAAAACATTATAGCTGAAAGCTTTGTTTATCGTTTCTATCGAGACATACCAGAACAATTTTAGAAGTATCTATATTAGCAGCTCAAACTGTCAAAACCAAAGATTAGTATGACCCTAAATTTAATAATTAAAAATCCTCAATTAACTACATATAATATGTGGCAAATGTTCTCAGAATATTCTTCCCCAGAGATTGTGAACCAATAAATGAGTACTGTAAAAAAAATGACTTTTGATTTTTAATTGGCAGTCTTAGTATAAAATAAGTGTTGTAGGAATATTAATCTACTTACTCATACAGAGTTGAGCATTTTTGTTTTGGGTTAATATCCCATATTTTCTTATTGCGGACAACATATTCATTACTGTGCTGGTCATAGAGAGCTTCAAATTCTTCTACATCTTGCCGAAGATGGTTAGGCACAGCAAATGGGCCTGCAGAATCTGAATTGCGTCTTCTGATTAAAAAAATAATTTTGTTAATAATAAACTTTTGGATAGGCTAGATGAACATTTAATGGAAAAAAACAACATGATGGTAACGAACATACGACTTGATTTTATGTGGAAGGAAAGTACTACCAGAGAGCTTAGTGTGGAAAAGATATCCTTCATAATTAGAGTCAAGAAACATTATATTTGACATTCTAAGTAAGCACTTTTAATTTAGCCCTAAACCAAGCACATTTTCCCCCAGCTCCAGTTTAAAAAAAAAAAAATCAATGTTGTATTAATTGTAACTTGTTAAAGGGTTGAGAGACAAATGAAGATCTTATAATTGCTATTAATTTAAGTGATATTGAGACTGGTAAAAAGTACTAATAAAAAGATTTTTTTAAAAAAAGAATATGAGGGCTGGGGTTGTGGCTCAGAGGTAGAGTGCTCGCCTAGCATGCGTGAGGCACTGGGTTCGATCCTCAGCACCACATAAAGTAAAAAATAAAACACTGTATCCACCTATAATTAAAAATAAATAAATAAATATTTTTTAAAAAAAGAATATGAGATTTTAGTACTTTCAAAAGATACAGTAGATTGAGTGTGGGGACTAAAACCAGACAGTATGGTTTAAATCCTGGCTCTGCTATTTATATAAGCCTTGTGCCTGGAGCAAGTCATTCAACTACAACTGCCTGAGTTTCTTTATTTATACTATGGACACAATATCAGTACTTATTTCCTAGGGTGGAGGAATGGATTAAATTAATTTATATATGTAAATGCCTTAGAGTAGTGCCTCATACATATTTGTTCATTTCAGAGAAGACCGTTATATTATGATCTGTATGTCTGCGTTCCCCAAAAACTCATAGGTCATGAGGGCAGAGACATGATGAATGGGATTTGTACCTTTTCAAAAGTATCTTTAGAAAGCTGCCTTATTTTTATGGTTTAGACATGATGTGTCCCACAAAATCTCACATGTGAGACAATGCAAGAAAGTTCTGAGGTAAAATGATTGGGGTCTGAGAGCCTTACTGCTTTCCTCTACCACATCCTTCCACCATGATGTGCTGCCTCTGGTACAGAACAATGAAGCTGATGTCAGTGGACTGAGACCTCTGAAACCATGACCCCCAAATAAAGTTTTCCTCCTTTAAAATTGTTCTTGTTAGATCTTTTGGTCACAGCAGCAAAAATGCTGACTAAAACACTTGTCCATGTATCATGTGAGAAAAAAGTGAAAAGGTACCATCTATGAACCAGACCCTCATGAGACAACAGATATGTCAGCTCTTTGATCCTGAACTTCTTAGCCTAAAGAACTGAGAAAAGCCAAATTGTGAAAAATAAATTTCTGTTGTTTGTAAGGCCCTCAGTTTATGGTATATTGTTCTGGCAGCCCAAATGGACAAAGACTGGCTCTTAATTCCTCCACTTAGAGAATTCATGAAAATGAGTGCAATTTTTTTTAAAAGAGAGAGAGAGAGAGAGAATTTTTTAATATTTATTTTTTAGTTTTCGGTGGACACAAAATCTTTATTTTATTTTTTATGTGGTGCTGAGGATCGAACCAAGCGCCCCGCGCATGCCAGGCAAGTGCATTACTGATTGAGCCACATCCCCAGCCCCAATGAGTGCAAATTTTAACTGTTCTTTTTTTTTTTTTTTGGTGCTAGGGATGGAACCCAGGGCCTTGTGCATGCAAGGCAAGCACTCTACCAACTGAGCTATATCCCCAGCCCCTGTTCTTCTTCTTCTTCTTTTTTTTTTTTAATATTTTTTTTAGTTGTAGATAGACACAATATCTTCATTTATTTTTATTTGGTGGTGAGGATTGAACCCTGTGCCTCACAAATTTGAGGCAAGTACTCTACCACTGAGCCACAACCCCAGCCCAAATTTTAACTGTTCTTAAACTCCCTAAGAAATGTGAGCTTCTTTGTTTGGTATTATCAGTTTCTTTAAAACATAGTTTCAACAATCAGAGGCATGAAAAATCATACAAAGTTAAAAGTTAACATCATATATAGCTTCCAAAATAGCTTCCTTTCTCCTATTATAGTAGCACTAGTTAATTATCAATAGGACATTCTCTTTACTGAATACTTTAAAGGACATTTTCTAGACATTTTTCTAGGGATTTCCCATAGTGCCCTGAACACAGTGGGTCCTCAATATATGCTTACTGAATAAATGTCACCATTCCTGAGACTTTAACTCATAATGAATTCTTAATGACAAGCCATGCTATTAATTCAATTGAGATATATTATATCAGGTTGTCAATATGTAAATCTTTAAAAATGAAAGGGAAATAAAACATAAGTTTAGAGTACATTAAATTAACATGCCTTATCAAGTGAAAAGCATGTGAGTTATAATGAGGCAAAAATTTTAACAATCATACTTACTTATAGTCTTCACCTGAACTGATAGTCTCATTATTTGGTGTTACTGTAGTTGTTCCAGACCCAACTAACATTGGCTGGTTTAAAAGAAAAAAAAAAAAAAAAATGACAATGACATCTAATTTAAAAGTCTATGAAAGAAAAACATTATCATTGAAATTGATAAACATTTATATAATATTTAAAACCTATTTTTAATATTTAAATAATATTTAAAACAATATGTAAAACCTATCCAAATTTTCTTATAAACAGGAACACATAGTAATATAAGTTTTAATGGCCAGAAATAAATTCAAATTAACATTTGGGATAGTTTCCAGTGCTCCAAAAAACTTTAAATGTCACTTAAATTTCCATATTAGTTAAAGACACATGGTCAAAGGTACAAGGAAGCTTATACTGGAATTCCAAGCTGCCTGCATCCTCCTCTAACACTTGCTCATTCTCTCTACCCCTGTTCCTCTTTTTTCAAGACACGCTGAAACCAAGAGAAATGCACTATGATGCTGAAATAATGAGAATAGAGCCTTAGGTGAAAAGGAAAAGTTCCCATCAATTCTAAGACTGATATGATGACTAGAATTCATCATTCTTATTTGAATATTTTAGATAATAAATATTTAAATAAATAATTCCAACAAGAGCTTCTGAATACTAGAAACCAATATCTTACTGCTCTTATATGAGATATAGAAACCAATATCTTATATATTCTTATCTCTCCCTAAAATTCAGCACAGAAATAATAATAAATAATTATTAAGCATTTACTACCCAATAAACAAAGGTTATTATAATAGGCACAGGAAAGTCAAATAACTTGCTCAAGGTCACAGAAAATAATTGGTAGAACCAAGACAGGAACTCTACCCTATGGCTATCCATAATAGAGTACTACATTATATTTTTACTCAGAAATATCTAGAAAATATAAATAACTATAAAGATTAAGAGTTTCTTTCAAGAGTTATTTATGTGCAACATGAACCTTAAATTTCCTCAAAATGTAGAAGACTGCCAAAATAGACTAAACTCTAGAAAGTCTTTCTCTACAAAATGTTTCAAAATACTGCAAGAATTGCTTATTTCTAATTTATATATCCATTTTTGAGAGTCTGGGCAGGAATTAATTCAGAAAATATTCCATACCTTTGTGTCTTTTGGCTTCTTTTTCTTGCCTTTGTTTTTAACCTTGGTAGAACTAAACTGAAAAATGGGGGGAAAAAAACAAAACAATGAACACTCAAATAACAGCCTTATGTAGGTCAACATAAACAAACCACATTAAGTTTCACAGACTAATCATCAGTTATATGTATATAAAATGTTGTGTATCAGCCCAAGTGCTATGGCTTATAATAAAAAAGAAGAAAAGGCTTAATAATGCCAAATGTTATGATCAAAATTAAATTGTCCTAACATTTTAATCTCATTTTCAACAGGGCTTATGTTATTCTAAATAATTAACTGAACTTTTAAGTAATTCTGATTATGTGCTATAATAGCATTCAATGATATCCCTTTTACTAAGCAAACAGATGTTCCACACCCAGCCAGATAATGGGGCACAAAGAGTGAAAGGAGCTGTATTAATTTCTCTATATGGGTATGTTAGCTGTACTTCCATACTTAGCAGGGCAAAATCTGATAGAGCAGAGTAAAACAGAATTCCATATATTTGATCCTGAAAACTGATAAACAAGTATCTTTCTCTTTGAAAACTGCCACAGTGCTATCCTTTTCATTATTTAATCATGTTCCTCAAATGAAGAATTTCTGGCCTGCCAGAAAAAATAAAAGACAACCACAAGCTGTCAAGGAAAACAACTCCTGAATTACTCTTAAGTTAAACTCATGTTGGAGCTAAGTGAAACAAAGTCCCTTTGTTTTCCTTGAACACAAAAATACCACAATTTTTTTTCTCAACTAAAGAACTTTTCCTTTTCTCCTTCTAATATTAACATTTATTAGTTGTAAAACTTTATGGAAAGTATTTAACTTAAGCCTCAGAGTTTGCTGAGGAATGCCCCATTCCTAAGAGGATGAGTGGAAATAACTTTCTAATGAAATGGCATACATATTCAGAAGTCCTCTCAATTTGGTTCTGAAATGCTACCTGTGATGTAAGCAAATACTGGCCTCGTTATTCCTCTTCTCCTTTGGCTAATACAAATTAGAACATATGATTTAAAGTGGTCAAGTAGCTTACCGGAGCTTCACCACTATCTTGTTTCCTTAATACAGTACAGCGGCTGTCTGCAGAAGAAACAGAAGGTTCTATGAGGAAACTAAATATTTACATTACCATATAATATACTGAAGTCTTAAAACTACTTCAAGACCACTATCACAGACTACATTCTATTCCTTATTTGGCTCTGATAAACGTTTAGTTAAAAACCAAGGGTAGTAATGTAGTGGGGCAGGTGGCTCACTCTTATAATCCTAGTTATTAGGGAGGCTGAGGCAGAAGAATCACAAGTTAAAGGCTAGGGCAACTTAGTGAGACCCTATTTCAAAATTTTAAAAAAAGGGGTTGTAGGTGTAGCTCAGTGATTGAGCAACTGCCTAACATATGCAGGGTTTGGGGTTCAATCCCTGGCACTGCAAACAAAACAAATCCAAGGGCAAAATGACTAACTAAACATAATGTTACAGGTACGACAAATAAGATGTCAAAACACCTGATGAAATAATAGTCTTCAGTCAAGAGGCCCAAGGGGAATTAGAGAGGGCTTTGGGGAAGAGAAGAAATTTAAGTTAGACTTGGAATAAACAGGCAAAGGGAAAGATGTGGCTAGAGCTGCATAAGCAATGGCAAGAGGCATGAAAGCACAAGACAGGTCTGGATATAGCAGCAGTAGGTGTAAGCTCAGAGGGCAGCTAGAGAAAGTGCAGAGAGATGGTGAATGTAATCTGCAGGCAGAACTAATATTTCCCTTGCAGAAAGCTTTCAGTAACAGATATTCTACAGGAGTCACCAGTAGGAGTAAGAGGAAAATTACAGGCATGAAAGCCAGTTTGGAGACTCCTGTAATAGTCTAATCATGGAAAGAGAATTAAGGTCTTGTCTTGGCTTAGGAAAATGAGATGCACAGGAAAGGACAGATTAAAGATAAAGCTTATTTGGACCTGGTGACAAACTAGTTAATACTAGTAATAGGGAACAGAACTAGTAATAGGGCAAAGAATAAAGGCTAATTTTAAGGTTTTTTGCTTAAAAACTAGATTTACGACAATGATCACTGTAAGGTCCTTGCTTATAGTGGACGATCAACGGTCACTTCCCCAGACATCTGGGTGGCCATCCTAAGGGACAGTCACCATTTTCTGGCTTCCTCATACCAACCCAACCCTTCACCACCCCACATTCTTTCCCACCCAAGGGCGTACCAACCCCACCCATAACTGTCCACATTAGGACCCACCTGGCTCTAATCCCTGAGCCTCTCCCAGAAAAGTCTTGAAATCCAAGCCTGTGTTGCCTCTCTTCTTCTATGGAGAGATGGCCTTTATTTATCAGCTCTGACAAACAAACTCACATATGTATCTCTGCCTGGTCTCCAGCTTTCATTTATTGCTCTCCTGTCTGCCGGTTCCTCACTTTCCTTTCATTGGTGCCGAAACCCGGGATCAGGTTCCCCAGAGTGCCTGCTCCCCTCTTTGAGGGTCACTGAGCATCCCTGGGCCCTGAACTGGATTCCATCACAGGACCAGGTCCTCTATTCTGCCAAACGCCCTCTCTGCACACCACCAGACATTTCAGGAAAGACCCATGTCTCCGGTCAACCTAAATGACCTACAGGTCCCGGAAAGTGACCGTTGATCATCTAGCACTCCCAGGGTTACTGGGTGGTTGGTGGCACCCTCAGCCACAGCTTTCACAGCTATGATCCCTACTGTCGACTAGTCTATAGGTAGTCTTTTGTTTGGGTCCTGGGTTTTGAGAAAAAAACACCGATGATGATTGGGAGTTGTTCCTGGTGAGATGACCTCTCAGCTGTGGGTTAATCTCTACGGGCTTCTGCTCCTACTATGCAATCCCAGCTGGGTGCCCAAGTGCCTCTGTGGGCTTATTCCCCAAGGTCAGTGTTGGTGACGATCCTAAGCATAACTGTCCTTTTGACTAGGTGACACTACAGACTTGGGTACGGCCCACCTCCAAACTCACCTCCTCCATCTCACCATGGGTGGCTCCTCATCCATTCCCTTTCATAGTCCCCTAGGCTGCCTCCTGGCTAACCTTGGGCCTCTCTCTCTCTCACCCTGGACCTAAACCCCTCAAAACTTACCCACTTGTGCAATCAGATCTGGCCTCAATATCCTTTGGATAACTACTCTAAATGGCTGCTTAATGGCACTCTAGATCTCAATATTATCAGAGATCTTTTTAACTATTGTGAGCAATCGGGAAAATAGAAAGAGATATCATACGTTCAGGTCTTCTCCTCCCTACGTTCTAAGCCCTCTCTCTGCAACTCCTGCTCTCCCGCACAAGTCCTCTTAGCTCTCACCTCCCCTTCGCCTGCTTCCAAAGGGACAGAAGACCCTACCCAGGACTCTTTCTCCTTTGACCCAGCGGATGAGCCCCTGCCATACCACAATTCTCTTTCTAATGAACCCTCTGCAGCAACTGTCCCCACACCCCTCTGTCCTTCTCTCCTCCTGCCATACACTCACAGGCTGCCACTGCCCAACCTGCATCTCTGTATCCTCTACACAAGGTGACTGGGGTACATGGTGTAATCCAGGTTCAATGTGCCTTTCTTTGTCAGATCTTTCACAGATAGAAAAGTGGCTTAGATCCTATACTTCAAGTCCCACCACACCACCATATACATGCCCATATGACCTTGTCTAACACCCTCCTGCCCAAGGAGCACAGGTGAGTTTGGGAGCCAGCTAGAAATTATGCTGATGAGGTACATCAGACCTCCCCTGGCATCCGATTGGCACTGACTTAGAAAGACAGCCCATAGGGCTATCAATTATGAAAGGCTCCAGGAAATCTTCCAAGATAAGAATGAAAACCTTCAGCATTTTTAGACCCCTGACCAAGGCTTTATTGCAGTATACTAATCCAAACCCTGAGACTCCAGATGGGAGACCACTACTAAGGACCTACTTTCCTCCCAGAGTTTCCTGATATTAAGGCCAAACTAAGGAGCCTCGAGAGGGGGCCCCTAACTCCTTAAGCTCAGGTTCTGGGAGTAGCCTTTAAGGTGTGTAACAGGAGAGATGAGAAGGACCGGAAGCAGAAATATCAGATGCTCTCTCAAGCCATCCAGCCGGGCTCAGCATCTGTCCTTGGTTCCACTGGCCTGTGGAAGTGTCCCTCGGGACCACCTGGACCCTGTTTTAAATGTGGTCAGACAGGTCACTGGGCTCATACTTGTCCTAAGCCTTGGAAGCCTCCAGGCCCTTGTCCTAAATGCCATCAGAAAGGACACTGGGCCCTGACTGTCCCCAGCCCATAGAGGCCTCCGGCCATCTGGCCCCTCTGGTTCCCCTTTCCAACTCTTAGGATTGGCTGCAGAGGACTGATGAGGCCCAGGTTCCCATCACCAGACCACTATCATCATTCCACAGGAACCCAGGGTAACTCCACAGGCCTGTATCCTTCCTCCTAGACTCCTGGTTACACATTCAGTCCTCAAGGAGTTCTGGGGGCCTACCACTCGTTCTGTGACCTCTATTGTCAGGGCAGAAGGCAAACCTTACCAGCCCTTGCAAACATCTAGACTTGTTTGTGCCTTTGGCTCTCTAGTTTTCGCCCACTCCATTTGGTCATTCCACAGTACCCTGTTCCCCTTATGGGAAGGGACATCTTCACAAAGTTGGGAACTATGCTTTCCTTCTCCTCTCATATATGCTTCCATCCAAACTCGCTGGCCGCTTCCCTGATCCACACCCTTACCTTCGGGACCTTCCCCTATTCTGTCTGTCAGTGCCTTCCCATTACCCCCGTCCAAGGTGAACCCTAATGTCCGGGATGTTTCAAATCCTCCTTTTGCCTCACAACATGAACCCATTTACATCCATCGCAAAACTTTTTGCAGAGCAGCCTTGATCACATTCTCCCATGAGCTTTTGCTCTCCCCTCCGGGGATTTGGGATCCTGGACTGAGGGCCCAGGATAATTACCACACACCTTCTTCCATTCACCTAGTGTTCTTCTTCTTCATCCACACTCCAGCCTCACTTGGGTAAGTGACTTCGCCCTTCCCCTCCTACTCCCTATAGACAGCAGTGACAAGTCTCCTCCCTAGAACTTATATCTTGGCCCAGCACCAAAGTTCTCACCCATCCCTTCCCCTAGGCAAGTTTACTCTCGAGTCCTGTTCTTAGCTCCTCAGCAGAGCTCAAGAAAGCCTGGGCCAGACAACCAAGACTCTCTACGCTAAAGCCCGGGACTAGGAAGTAGTGGGTAACTCTATCCTCTCAGTCTCAGACGCCAACTCACCATGGGAACCCCCAAATCCCATCTGACTCACCTCTCAGCTGCCTCCTCACCCACTTAGGCACACTCTGTTTGGCTCCTGATCTAAAGGCCCATCAACCAATTCAACCTTCCAATCTTCAGGAAAATGGAAGAAAATCCCTTATGTGCAGGTTTTCTCCTTTCTCCACTCTAAGCCTTCCCTTTGCTCCTTTTGCTCTCCTGCCCAGTTTCTACTTGCCACTAAAGCTCTGGATTCCTCCAGAGACACTACTTCTAGACAAATAAGAGACCCAGAACTCTCCTACATTGTAAAACCCTAGGCAGTAATCTCCCTGGGCAAGACCACAATGAAACTATCACTGACAAAGGACAGACTCAGGAGACTTGATGGGAGGCCAAAGGGGGGAAAAAAAACCTGCCAATTTAACTTTACCCTTGCCTACCAATATTGGCCACAGACTCTCTACTCATTAACAAGCCAAAGAAACTCACCTTTGGGGCCCCACTCACCATCCTAGCTCCCTAAAGGAACTCCTCACCTACAAGGGCTTACATTCCTTACCCCCTGTCACCTTTTATCTCTACAGGTTTTCCTGGTGGAAGATCCCAGTTTTACTTTCCACACCTGCTCACCTTTAAACCCTGCCACTCTCCTCCCCATCCTCAGGACTCTTCCACCTCTCCTCCTCTCACCCATTTCATGCACTGAAACTCTGGAGGAGCTCCTTCCACACTCCTCCCACATACAGGAGGCCCCTTGCTCCAGGCAACATGCACACGGTTCACAGATGGCTCCTCCTTCCTTCAGGAGGGAGTCCATCAGGCAGGGTCTGCTACAGTCTCTCTAACCTCCACTGTGGAAGCTGCTCCCCTCCCCAGTAACACATCCAATCAGCAGGCTGAACTTGGTGCCCTCATCAGAGCCTCTGCTTTGGCAAAGGGAGCCTTCCTCAACATCTACACTGACTCTAAATACGCTTTCCACATACTTCTCTCCCACTCTGCTACTTGGAAGGAGCAAGGATTCCTTACCACCAAGGGAACTTCAATTACTAATGCTCCCTTTACCTCCGATCTCCTTCAGGCCTCAAAGCTTCCCTCTGCCATTGGAAGGATGGCAGCTAAGCCCCCTTCTCCAGTGGGCACTTCCTTTCCTGACCTCGCTCCCTGTCATAGGCCTTCTGTTAATGCTTGTCTCCCACATCATTAGATTTATTCAAGACCAGATTCAAAGGATCTCTAACTTAACCGTGAACCAGCTTCTGTTACAGGACTTCCAACCCCTCACCAAAATTGGGCCATCTGGACTTAGTATCACTGGGCACCTCAAGACCATCACCATTGCTTCAATGACACTCCATGCCCCTAACATGCCCCAGACATGCCCCTAATAAGTCCAGAAGCTGCCCCTTCCCATCAGGAAGAAGCTATAGAAGATTTATCTACAACCCTGTCCCTTAAGGGGCCCAATAACAAACAAAAAAGTGTGTGTGGGAGAATGTAAGGTCCTTGCTTAGCATCTGGGTAGCCATCCTGAGTGACAGCTGCCATTTTCCTGCCCAAGGGCCTTTCTGGGAAAGGCTCACCACTCCCTCATACCAACCCAAAGCTTCACTGCCCTTACGAACCCCACCCTTAACTGCCCACATCAGGAACCACCTGGCTCTAATCCCTGAGCCTCCCCCGAGAAAAGTCTTGAACCCCAAGCCTGTGTTGCCTATCTCCGTCTATGGAGAGATGGCCTTTATTTTTCCGCTCCACCAAACACTCTCCTGTGTGTATCTCTGCCTTGTCGCCTTCTTTCATTTCTCACTCTCCCATCTCCCTGTTCCTAGCTTTCCTTCCAGTCACTAATAAAAGTTTAGGAAAAACAGGTCTTTGAGATGTGCTAAGTGGGTTTAGTCATGTTGCTTTGCAAGGGCCTTTAGCTGACTACACAGAAATTGTCTAGGAAAACATGCATCCAGATTTCAGAAGTAAAACTTGAGTCCCAGTGATCATGTCATTGGTGGAATTACTGAATACCCTGATATAAAAGATCAGTGGATTTTGAAAAGTTAATACTATCCTTCTTTTAAATAATAAGACATGATACTCAAAATGTCTGGGGTGAGGGTGGGAGACAGAGCTACTAGAGTTGAAAATCTGTTGAGATCACCATAAATTTGATTGGTAGCTTCTGACTCCATGGATGACAGCAGTGAAACTGGCAGCTAGATGTTCTGAGTATTTTAGGTATAGAACAGAAGAATTGGGAAGAGTGGTCACTAAGAGAAAACTGTCTTTTGTAGTGGTCCTGTTGTGTGACTCAACATGCACCAGGTTTTGTAGGCTTAGTTTCAGGATAAAATTTATTACCAGCAGCAATAAACTGATGGCACTAAATTCAGGCTATCAAGTAGCATGTCACCTCCCATTAGAAAACAGTATCCTGGAAAGACAAAGCCATCTATGTGCAAATGTTCATTTTGCTAAGAACCAAAACAAAAGCAAGCTTCTCAGTTTTTTATACTGCATTTGAACTTTATAATGCGTGACACTGTTATACAAGGTCAGATTTTTAAATCAAATGGCATGAAATTTGAATCTAACTTCTAACAACATATAGAGGAGACTGATAAGGAAAAAAGAAGAGAAGACTATTAGGGTGCACACACAGAATGAAAGATAAAAAAATTAAAAATTAAGTTAGAATCTAAGGATATTAGAATTTTGAAGTAAAACAGGATCAGAGATCACTGGCTCCAAATCATTTCATTTTTTTAAGGATAAGGAAACTAAAATCCAAGAGAAGCCTAAGAAATTAACTGCTAATTAGTCTACTCTGTCAAACTAGGCTCCATGCAGTTATCCAAACAGGCCTCTCAGCTCCCCTCTAAGCCACCTCTCTAAGGCCCAACTTCCACCTGTCCAATTCTACTTCCACTTTTACAGGCTTTCATAGGCCATCTCAAGATTCTATCCCTGCTCCACAGCTTTCCTCTAACAGGGAGAACCCAGTGCTGGGTTTTTCCTCCAAAGCCCTCAGCACTTTCATGCTCTCTCATCAATCATCTTTTCCAGGTGAACTGATTGTACTATAATAATTTTCACATTAAGTATTTAAATGAGCAGCTCCTTTGCAGATATTTTCTTTAAGATTAGATACAATATAAATCCAAGCTTGGTCCACATACCCATTATATCAAAGAATTCATCTAAAGCACTATGCAATGCTGGGAACTTGTCTCTGTGTTCTTCCAACAGCCATATTAAACAACGTGCTTCTTTTAATGACGTTGGTTCACAGAAGTAATCAAGTTGCTTTCCTTCTATAGAGGCTAGTTTATGGCCATATTTCTCACTCCAGAGGAACGTCATGATGCTAAAATCAAGCTCCTTAAGAGATGCTCCATATCGAGAAAAAAAAGGTCCCGTGGCATCTAAGCCTACAATGAAAACAAAATACAAATCACAACTGGGAAAAAATTTTTACTGGAAAATTACGTGGAGTTTCACATGTTTGAAAGTGGTTCCATTATAGTTTGCTTATATTTTCAGTGAAAATGTTCCAATACTTGAAAACAGACTTGTTTGAGTTATTATGCATTTGTAGAAACACCACAGAACACTAATATACTAAATGCAATAATTTTCAGTATGGTAAGCCAAAGACTTCTATCGTTACAAATATCTTTTTTTGCACTTAGGAGATGACAAAATGACATTATATTGCTTAAGAAAAATACTATGCTTTTGACTAATGTATAATAACTTTTCATTCTAACTAATAAACTAGTAAAATTTTACAATGTCTTTTTATGTATATTCCATAGCAATGAAACATCAATAACATGCAAAATTTTGCCTAACTGCCTTTAATTCTTCCTCCAATACCTCCAAGAACTGCTCCTTATCTTCCAAAATATCATGGTTCCTCATCATGATACAAAAATCAAGGTGGTCACTATTCCTGTTTTCTTTTTAATATTTTTAGTTGTAGATGTACACATAACTTTATTTTTATTTATTTTTTTTACACGGTGGTGAGGATTGAATCCAGGACCTCAAACATGCAAGGCAAATGCTCTACCCCTTGAACCACAACCCCAGCCCATTATTCCTGTTTTTTACTCCCTGTTCTCCACATCAGAAAATAGGGTGGCTGCAACCTCATAAATTCTCACTGAAAGGATGGTGAATCTTCGTTCCTTCCTAACACAGCCACCAAAAAGCAAAGAGGAAATTCATACAAATTCCTCATCATACCTCTAAATACAGCACTGTCAACCATGCATGGGCCTGAAGTTCTCAAATCAGTAAATGGAGCAGCGATTACTAAAGTCAAAATTACCCTGGATTGCTCACTGCTGTTTCTTTCAGATGAAATAGCTTACAAAGGACATGCTGCATGAGAAATCAGCATAAAACACCAGAATGGGTGGCCACATAAAATACTCATAGAACAAAATGTCCAAAGAAACCTCCAGTGAAGAAATATATTCACCTTCCCTATCCAATCTCATGTGCAGGCATGTGCTCCAGGAAGGGGGTGTAGGCCAACCATCTTACTACTAAAACTAATATTCTCCTACTTGTGCTCTGCTATTTCTTTCTCTCTCCCTCCATCTTTTGCTGAACATATAAACTGGCCTCTCTTGTGTCAAATATTCACGAGGTGACTCCTGGAACTGGAAATTGCTTGCTTTAATTAAATGTATGTGAGTTTACATCAGGGCTATAGTAACATCTTTACTAATTAACAACCTTGAGCTAATTTTATACTTTAGTATATATACAAACTTATTAAAGTGATACCTTTACTCCTCAGAATATACATGGGTTATATCACAAGACATAGTCATATTTTCCTGCCAGTCAGCTGAGAGACTGCATTTACCTGAATAAACACTGACTGGCATTCTTCCAATGTAGTCTAACCTATAAAGCCCACTTCTCCAGTTGTGACTCTATCCTCTATGGAAGATTAAATTGTTAAGTGAGAACTTACGAATTTACTTTTTTATTGGACATTATCGGCAATCTTATCACTTAAGAGTGATTTTCTGAGACCAGAAATTTATTAAGACCTATGCTCAGAGCAGGAATATTAAGCTAACTATGCCAAGCTTGCTGCCATCTGACTTTCTCTCTACCAACAGAAATTGACCAGAATCTTCTTTGAAACCCTTAAATTCTACTAACTGCATTTCTATAAAAACTCAAAAAGGTGGGGGTAGCTGGTAGAAGCTGGGCAGGTGCTATTCTTGGGTCTGAGAGCACTGCTGTCTTTCCTGAGGCCTCCCGTAGACTTTTATCAACAGCTGCCAGCTGAATCAACAATCATGCTAGCCTAGTTACCATAATAAATAGCATCTTGGGAGGTACCCAAAGCATCCCTACTCAGTTAGACAGCTACCATACCTGCAGGCTCATTCTGCAGTCCTGCATGGCCTTGGGCAAAAAGCCTGAATGGGAGGTAGGGGATGTCTTCCACATCCTTCCCTTGTGATTCAAAACTACCTACTTGAACCCCAAGGTACATTTCTTCTCATTCTTCAACATAGATTTGCCTGAGGTGCTCCTAAACAATGAGTCCCATCTGCTTGTCCTAATTTTTCTTCACAGAATCTTAATCTTTCTCAACAAGGCTATTGAGCTGCACAATCCCAGAAAGTACTCAATAGCTCCTAGGTTCCAGGGTGTGTTGGTTATACAGGGTAGTGTCTAGTACTCACAAATGTTTAGTATAATACAAGTCTAGATTTCCCTACTGATTTTTATTTTGTTTAGCTCTTTTTAAAAAACATACCGTCCCCTTCTATAGAATAACCTAAAAATTATGTGTGGATGGTAGTGTTTTTCACCATACACGTGTATCCCACATTTAAAATATCATAAACGATAAGATAGGAAGATAAAAAGAAATCAGAGACCCTACATTTATCCTTCCTACCAGACTAGAATAAAAAGGGACATACCAAAGCTATTAAGTTTCTGGATCCAGGTAGCTAATTTGGGTTCCACTTCTTTAAGCTCACTCAAAACATGAAGAAATACCCTTGTCTTTACTCTATTCTTTTCTTGAATCAAGTGACGAATGACATAGTCCACTGCTTCATTGAGGAAATTTCTGCTAGAAAAACACGTTGTATAGTCTTCTGTGCTCAGAACTTTCCAAGAAAGCAATTCTTTGAGAAGCTTGGAAGGGTTCAGTATACCCGATTTAATCTTGTCAGCATACTGCTTTATGCACTGCAGAATTCTGTCATCAATGAACTGACAATTCTGACCACTGTCTACAGTTTCTAGGAATAAATAACAAAGGTTAAAGTGATAAATTACACTAATTTGCAATGGCGTAACTTAGAAAGAAATAACGTAACATTATATTATATCATAAGATACAATTAAGATTGACTGCTTTATTTTACATAGACAACTCAAGAAACTTTAAATTAGGAATGTAAATATTTAACAATACTTCTATATTCTCTTCATTTCACACCATTCATGTAATAGCATCTAAAATTTTATTTTCTCTAAAATAGTTTTTTTCCCTCAACAATCCCAACCCAATCTCATCACCTCCAAAACTTTATACTCAAGAAATATTTTTAGTTCTTAAACATGCAAAGTTAAAATACATTCACAAAGTTAAAATACATTTTTCAGTAGCAAAGATAATTATGATCAATCTGTAAAAGAGTATTGGTATATTAGATTTAAAAAAAGACAGCAAATGGTAACTATTTCATTTTGGAAATCCAGGCACAATGTAGAAAACTTACTTCAACTTAAAACTAAAAATAAATATACTGGTTAAGATGTATACAGGAATAGTAAAATCACCTATGAGACACCCCCATGTTATTAGAGAATGAAAATACAAGCTGTGCAAGGTAATCTCTAGGAGACCTTTTATGAACTGCCTCTTTATTTGAACTATTCCAGACAATTAGTAGTTAATTTACAGTTCAATATTTTGGAACTTAAAGTCACATAGCAGATTGTACAATGCACGGTCAAACATACAATATGCAGGTCAGATATTATGTTCCAATTCAGTTTGAAGAAGAGGAAACAGACACAGTTTGCCTAGAGTTAGCAGCAGGACAGCATGTGAATCACTGTGTACTGCTTCTAAAATGATATTCTTCACACCAATCCCTTCACCATCTAAGAATAATAGAAGATAAAGATGCTAACTGAATTCTATATTTTAGTGATAGTATGAAAATACTAACTGAAATCTATACTTCAATTAAATAATAATATGAGCCTTATAATTCTGTATTTGTACGTTGAAGCAAATGCATACTATTCTTATCATGTTTGGAGTCTGCATACCTTTCTGTTCTTCGTTTTTGGGCGGATTACTTTCTCTTAAGTCCTCTTCCATTCTTTCTTGTGCTAATTTTTTTGCTTCTTGTTTTTGGATTTTTCTTTTCAATTTTTTGTCTTCTTTCAGTCTTAGCTTCTCTAGGCTGATAAACATTTACAATTAGTGATAATTTACCTTTGTTAAATGCTCAATGAACTACTTTCTGTTGCCTACTATAGAAAACATTCTCCAAGCAATAGGCTGTGACTTTTAATTAAGAAAGCTATGTATAATTTGTATAGATGTTATTTCCATGTACATAATGTATATAAATTACTTCCATGTATATAACATATATAAATTATTTCCACATATATAATGTATATAAATTACTATGCAGGGTAAATAAGAATAGTACATGTACTCTGCAAGCAAGATCCCATAATAAAATATTATTTTCACCCCAATAACAACATGGGAATTTGGTTGATTTGGTTACACTGATTTCTTTTCAACAAATAATTCTATACATCTTTTCTTTTGGTTTTTCTTGGTCACAAATTATAAGAAAAAAAATCCCTTTTTAGGATGAAAAACAAGAAGCAGGACCGAAAAGAAAAGAAAAAAGGATTGGAATTATTTGATCTGAACAGAAAGATACAGAGGTGAAAAATTTTGACAATACACTAAGTATTTCAAGGTAAGAAATAGTCATTGGTTCAAAATGTTTGGTGGAGAAACAAAAAAGCAAAAATGCTTTTGAAATTAACAGCCAAAAGCTAAAAATATAATTTTTGTTAAATGCCAAATCTGTTGATAAGTAATTTCATAACATGAAATGTTATAATTTTACTTACAAGTTCAACCACTAAATAGTGACTTTTTCAAATTTTCAGTATTTAATCATTCTAAAGCTAGTTCTGTTTTAAATATACATAAAAATAATTTTTAAAATACTTATTTATATATGTGTGCACAGCCAATTTTAAAAAATAGCACAATTTAGAAATCTGCATTTAACAGAGTTATATTCTAAGAGACAATATAAAAACTACTGATTGATTGTTAAAAATCTTACCTAGAACATTTCTGTTTCAGAATAGGTCTTGGAGGAACCTTTTCTTTTATGACCTTGTGTTCAAACTTTAAATAAAACAAAGACATCCAAAATTTGTCTCATACTCCCATGACATAAAGCACAAAACCACAAGTAACAAATATTTCAGAAGCACACACAATGTTCAATTTGATAGAGAACAGTGATGATGTTTTGACCCAGACAAAAGCCCAGAAAGCTTTAGCAAAATAATTTACTGAAAAGAGGAACAAGAGAGTAGACACACTTTATGAAGAAACTTTAAATAATTAAGGGTAAGCAGAAGATCCAATAAATTATATATTTTATAATTACCCACTCCTGCCACATTCAGATGGTGAAGTTAAAGGTAATCCCTCAAGGCACTCTTCCCCTTCCCTAAAACCCACACCTCCACCACTACCCCTTTTGGGGTATTAATAAAATGGAAGTTATCAAAAAGAGTAAAACCAAAATATAAAAAGTGTGCTTTTCCTAGGAGGAAATAAAAGAATGTGAAAATGCTTCACTGCAATGCATGTCCTAATATTTATTTTCTTAAATGATATAACTTTTTTTTTCTTACAAAAGACAAGATTCAAATCACACAACTTCCTCAAACTTAAAACATTTTAACAGGTGTAAACATTTTGGTTACAAATTTAATAAAGTTTCTCCTTTATTAGATACTTACTTCACATTTAACTTGACCACCACTGCTAAAGATGATAATCTTAGAAATGATACCTTCACAGTCAGGAGTAAGACAAATTCCTTGTAGAAAATCCTATTTGATTTAAAAGAAGAAGAATGTTATGTGTAGGAGGGATAAATCTATGCATGTATACCATTTTTTTAAACTTCGTTTTTAGCTGTAGAAGGACACAATACCTTTATTTTATTTATTTATTTATTTTTATGTGGCGCTGAGGATCGAACTCAGTGTCTTACACATGCTAGGTGGGTGCTCTACCACTGAGGCACAATCCCAGCCCCAACACATCCACAAAGTACATTCAAAATATACTATGAAATTTCCTTTAGGGAGGCAACGAAAGTGCCTGATTGCTGCAATTTCAGAGCCTTCTTATAGGAAGACTGTATCCACACGTATGGGGCAGACCTGTCCCTGTGACTTGCTTTGTGGTAAAGGAAGTCAAACTGCCATAGCATACACCAGGTCTAAATGAACACTCTAGGAAACACAGTGTGAACTGGCTATTGTTCTTTTCCCTCTGATAAAGAAACATGTTCCAAAAAAAGTACAACTTGGATTTGGAAATAAAGAACATGGCCACAGAGAATAGACCCGGCTGTAGCTCAACCCTGGCCAACAACTACAAAATTTCAGGACAAGTAATATAACCAAGAAAAGACCCTCTCATTGTTAGCCACAAAATATTTTGGTTGTATATTACTTCAGCATATCATAGTGAAAGCTGACTAGTTAATAGAAGGTATTTAGAATTCTGGGAATGGTTAAGACAACTAATGGAGAGTACATAGCTTACAAAACTCAATGTAAGTAAAAAGACAGTAGAAGTGGCTCCAGGGTTACAGTTATATCTCTAGCTATCTATGTGAAAATTAGTTTCTACCAAACTTACATAATTCCAACTGCTAAAAGACACCTAATATAATCACATTTTTTTTCCCACTAGGGATAATGGTTTGCATAGGGCTATACAGTATTAAAAAAGGCTTTTTTTTTTTAAGTCCACAGATTATATAGATCAGAAATAAACATTGTAACAAGGAAATATGACTGTAAAATTGTGCCCTCTTCCAAAGTATTCTAACTAATGGATTAACCAATCATTATATTGATAATAAGAATAAACCCCTGAGAAATGGCAGCATAAAATTTAAGTTAATTTCTTAGGACAAATTACCTTAACCAATTTTGGCAAAAAACTAAAATGTTGGAACCTTAATTCTACATCAACGCTTTCAATCTATGATGAGCTAAATTGTCAGTGCATAATTTAAGATCTGTATTTTAAAACAAGAAAAAATCAAATTTTTATTTCTGATCATAACATCACAATACAAAAATTAGTTAAATAATTTTTTAAAGGCCTCTACAGTTACTCCCTTCATACTTGTATAAAATTTAAAAACTCATTTTCCACTTTATTGTTAAAATCATAACTTAAAACTTTCTAATGAAGTCTAGAATCCTCAGGAAGGAATTTATATTCACTTGAAGACTTTTTAAAATTTTTTTAAACATTCAATACACATATTTAAAAAATCCAGACAATCTTTATTGCGGCTTACCTTGTCAATTTTATCATTAAAGGTGGTTGTTTTTAACTTCTTCCAGCAGTTCATGTGAAATTCTATTTTACAATACTGGCAACAGCTGATTCGTATAAAACCCTGGGTTTCAAAACATTTTAATTCACATTTTAAAGATGTCTACGCACATACACTTACTCATTCCCTCATAGCACACATATTAAGATAAAAAGAACTGTTGCATTCACTTGGCAGATATAATTAGATAATCTATCTCCTTGAAGAGGGATAAAATACTCTGTACTACAAAATGCTGAGTTCTATAGATATAGAACTTGGCAAACATCTTCATTTCCACAGCTGACATCTGCATTATCCTTTACAGAATATCAAATATCTTAACAAACATTTCATCTGATCTACTAATCTAAGAGTAGGGCAGTTATCTTCTTGAATAAACCAAAAACTTAATCACTTAATTAAGCATAAGTTAGGTTTTTAGGGTTTAATTCAGTGATTGCACTGGCCTTTATATTCTTGAACTCAATTTTTACAAGGCATTAGAAATCCAACAAATCAGAGGTAACAATATCACTTTGTTTCCTATGTTCCTAAGGAAGAGGCAGTTACATGAAACATGGCTAGAGGAGGAAATGAAATTAGCTAGCCTGTCATCTATGGTCACCATACCAGCCCAAAGCATTTATTTCAGTGGCCCTGGCTTCCCATGGTGTGAGATGATCTAAAAAAGTCCAGGGTAAGGGGCAGGCAAGGTGACAACTTGGGTGCCTCCAATTACAGAATTTATTCTGGATTCATTTTTAAGGCATGACTTTGCAAGTTAATGTTCCATTGTACATTTCATTTTTTACCTTAAAGTCTGGATCAGTTATGTATATCTGGATTTTGGAATATCCACGACACTTCTGATAGCAACAAATAGCATCTGGCACTGGAGGGAACCTGCATTCTTCAACAAATTTCTCTAGCAGCATCTAAAGCAAAATAAGCAAATCTGATAGTGTCACAACACTGATTTGTCAATAAAAATGATTGTGATTCCTCTTGCCATCAAAACATTTTCAGCATAGAAATGAATGTTTTTACCCAGGACAAATTATATGTATACAACTTTTAAAGATTTTCCTTTTAAAAGGAAGCTGATACAAAGATATATGAACAAATTCTTGTTTTTAGAATTTCAGTCAGAATCAAAATCTTGTCCTCTGTTATCATCAAAACTGGTTTTGTAATTTGTAGTTTTTAGAAATCTACTTTAAGAATCAAGAGGGAAGCTGGGTGTAATGGCGCATGCCTGTAATCCCAGTGATTTAGGAGGCTGGGGCAGGAGGATCACAAGTTCAAGGCTAGTCTTACCATCTTAGGCCCTAAGCAACTTAGCAAGAACCTGTCTCAAGATAATATACAAAAAGGGCTGGGAATGGCTCAGTGGTAAAATATCTCTGGGTTCACTCCCCAGAAACCAGGGGGGAAAAAAAAAAAGGAAAGAATTAAGTCGAATAATTAAGATAAAATAAGCCTTAGGGCAAGCCTGAAAATCCTATGATTCATCTCTTTCTCAATGTAACTTGATCTAAAATCCTAACACTACCATTCATCTATCTCTGCCACATGTGTTTGTTAATACTCTAGAGAATTAGAAGCCCCCAAGAGACTAACACCATGCTTTCAGTACTGGTTCTTTGTTGTCAATAACTTGTATATCTTCATCCCAATATGGTATAATGAGAGGAAAATCTAATAATCTCTGTGCTTTATTTTTCTGTAACAGCTTTGTTGATATAAATATAATAAAACTTACATAAGAGTACAGTTCAGTGGCTTTTAATATATCCAAAATGTTGTACAACCATCACCAATCTAAATTTAGATCATTTTCATCGTCCAACAAGGAACTCAATACCATTAGCAGTTCCTCATCTTTTTCCCCTAATGCCCAGACCTAGACAATCTATTTTCTGTCTCTGTATACAGATTTGCCTATTCTGGATATTTCATATATACAGAATCATACAGCATGTGACCTTTGTGTATGGCTTCTTTTATTTCGTACAGTGTTTGCAAGACTCATGCATGTTGTATCATATATCAGTACTTATTGTTTATTCATCAGTGGATACTTGGGTTGTTCCCCCTTTGGGGCTATTATCAATTGTGCTGCTATAAACATTCATGTACAAGTTTTGGGGAGAACATGTTTTCCTTTTTTTGTACAAATCTAGGAGTGGAAATGCTGTGTCACATGGTAACCCTATGTTTAACTATTTGAGGAACTGCCAGTCTTGTTGTCCCAAAGCAGCTGCACCATTTTACATTACAAACTGCAAAGTATGAATGTTATAATATTTCCATACCCTTGCCAACACTTAATATCTATGCATATCCTCAGAGTGTAAACCAGTATCTCACTGTGATTTTTATTTGCATTTCCTTAATGGTTAACAATATTGTACTAATGGGTTATCACTATATTTTCTTTGCAGATATGTTTATTATATACTTGTAAATTCGATTATTTGTCTTTTACTATTACGTTGTAAAAGTTGGCCCCTGTAATTTTAAAAGCTTCATACAAAAGCAAGTTCTGGTATATGAGACAAAATTTAGTTTTTCCAGAACTGGTAAAGCATCCATATGGCTCCAGAAATGACACTAAATTCCTAATTCAATTCATAAACTCAGGTACCATCTCAATAATGATATTAATATAATAAAACAGTAATACTGTACCTTCCTCTAAGTACAACCAGTACAGCATCCTGCTTAATAACACATGCTCTAATGTCAGAATGCCTGGACTCAAGTTCCAGCTTTACCACTTCCTTGATGCTTAACCATGAGCTCATCACTTCACCTATCTAAACTGTAAAATGGAAATGATCATACTACACAATTCTCAAGGCTGCTGTAAGGAAAATGTAATGATGAATGGAAGGTGTGTCACTAGTACCTAGGAAACGTGCATTAAAAGTCATTGTTTCTCTTTCAAGGGAGAATGCATGTCAGGGACTGTGAGGAGAGTACTACTGTCTGTCTTTCAACACCTGCATCACTTAACATGGATGGGCATTTATAGCTAGCAGGGAACACTCTCAAAAACAAACTGTTACCTTTATTTTCTCTGGCTGAGACTCTTCAATAATCACATTACTGGTGGGCCAAGTTAACACTCCTGGAAGACGACAAATCAAGGTTTTTGCTTTCTCAAAGTGATTGAGAGCTTCTAGGAATCTAAAATCAGAATTAGGGAAAAAAAAGACACTGAAGATGTGATGTGATATTTTCATTTACTACAAGAGTTCGCAAGACCTAGAGCTTCTTGGTAGGAGTACCTTCAATAAAACATCAGATGGAAGTATTCAATGAACACTAAATTTCCTTTAAATAAAACTAAAGTTTATTGCTGCTTGCTATTACAGTAATATAAACTAAATATAACTGTGTCCTGGCCTTTGCCTTTATCATGGTAAGGTGCATGCTAGTCCTTTTAAAATGCAACTTTGTTCCATTCAAAAAAAGATACTGAAGTGTTGGATTATGAAGTTAATGAGGGCTTTATTCTCTTTAGACTAAAAAAAGAGATTTCCTGCTTTCTCCAATCTTGAAACTATTTTCTAATTTAAAAACTTATTTTTGCCTATACATATGTAAAGATTCATATGTAGGGCTGGGGTTGTAGCTCAGTGGTAGTAGAGTGCTTGCCTTGCATGCATGAAGCACTAGGTTCGATCCTCAGCACCATATAAAAATAAACAAATAAAAATAAAGTTTAAAAAAAAGCCAATAACTCACTGGACAAAAAATTGAAAAAAATAAAAAGATTTATATGTAGAAAAGCTAGACTACCATCCACCATAAGATAATTATCAATAGCAGGATACAAATGGTACATTACAATGCCAAAAAGCAGCTATTAGACTTTTACCCACATCATATTACTTAGGAATTAAAATGTAAATGCCTTTCAACATGGCAAAGACTTTTCAGTTTACCACATTTCCATGATTTTACACATTTATGTTTCTTTCCTGGACCTTGTGAATACCAGCATATCACCGTTGCATTAAACAAGTATGTCCTAACAATTTACACTACACTTTGAAATTAATTTCATTTGCTATTACTATAAAGGTGATTGCTAAATCCTATTTCCCTTGTAACTACTTGATCCTTTCAGACCGATTCAAAAGTAACTTCATGAAGTAAAAGAATTTTCTTTAATCTTTAAAAATCTACAAAGAGGTTCCAGGCACACTCTAAGATTGGGTTTCCAAGAATCTCATAAAACTTTCCCTAAAAAGTTAGATGAAAATATGAGGAAAATTAAAAGTTATAAGAGATATTTCAATCAGTGAACAATTATTTCTTTATAATGTAACCTATGTATATTGAATGCAAGTGGTTGGAAACACATATTTCTTTTTTTAAAGCCCAAGACACAATCCTGTTCCCTAAGGGTCATACAGGCAATCTGGGGAGACAAGACTAAGAGCAATGAAACATTTAGAGAAAAGTTGTATTTTGAACTTGGAATAAGGATTTCTACTATAATAGAAATTCAGAAAGGTTTTTATGCTTAACTCATGGTGTGTTTAACATCATGTTAACGTGTACCTTTTATTAAAAACACTTTCATACAATTTTTTTGGAAATAGGTGCTTAACATCAAAATGTATAAACCATATTTTAAAATACTAATTTATATCAATTCAGTCACCATTTATAGATGAAATATACAAATGGATATTAAATTCTTCATGGTAAATACTCTATTACTGACTTTCTTATGAATTACAAAATTAAGAAGCATCAAGAATTGCACTGATTGATCTTGCTTTAATACTTAATATTGATACTAAGATGTCAGCTCCTCAAAGTAAATCACAATCATAATAGTGTGCCAGACATAAGGTAACAAAATAATTCCAGAAAAAGGATCATCATCACATTAAGACTTCAAATTTATCAGCCTGGAAATTAATGTCATTTCTACTAACCTGTTTTTTTTTAAATATACTTTTCCAATTCCACAATAGGCCAAGCAATCAAGTCCCTCATTGGGGTAGTGTTCAATAATCCTTTTAAACTGGTTTTCAGCTTCAGATAATTCCTTTAATAAAGGTGAGAACAATAATCACTTATGTAAGAAGAAAAATGTTAAAACAGACTTTACCCCAAAGTTGATTCCTTTCATGTAATATTAAAAAATAACTGTATATTAAAAAATTCTTATGGAAAAATTATACTCTCTGCATTTCATTTTCTTAGAAGTTATACAAATTTCCTGTAGCTAATCAGATGAACATGGAAACCCAGGAATTCAACAAATCCAACCTTGCCGAAAATATAAGACAGCCAACTATATAAACGTTTCTTTGTACACACAAAGTGATGGCCTATGCTGGCTAATACTATAAGATGTAAATTCATGATTAAAAACACACAAATACAAACACACACATTGTAATCTACATCCTATTAAGTATTGCTCTCTTAGACAAAAGCTATCTTAAAAATAGCCCTAAAAAAAAAAAAAAAATAGCCCTTTAGAGGCATTCCAAGAATGTCTGAAACAAGGGCTGAACTGTGGTCAACACATGGCTTCCTTAAGGGTCTATGCTGATGAAAATCTTTTAAATGCATAAATTCTACCATATTCATAGTTTTTTTAAAAAAATTTGTCTATTTTACAGTAAATCATGAGTATAACAAACTATTTCTTCAATTCCAATAAGGGAAAGCATGACATTTATTATTCTGTCAAGAGAGAATTAAAATCATGAAGTCCTGTTTCCATTGATATATTATAAAACAGAATTAGACAGGCATTAATAGAAGGCATTCCATCTGTCACATCAAGAACAAGGAAAATGAACCTCAGGCACTATAGATTCTCAGAAGTGAGTAAAACATGAACGTCAAGTTTGATCTTAACTAGGTAACAATTTAGAGTTGAACTTTCATTTTATCAGGGAAGTTTAGCATCCAAGTTGGCAGAAAGGATATGTTATAATACTTGAAATCATTCTAGAGAACCTCAAACAAGGTTATAACACTGAATAGCACAGGTAAGTAAGCATCCCAGGAAAGTAAAAGAAGAGCATGAGTAATGGGGACCACTAGAGCTCACACCTACACGCAGACCATATGCCATTACCTGAATCCTGCACTTAAGAATTAACCAAACACCAAACTACTCATCACCCAGAACTAAGAGCTATTAAGTATGGTCATGTTTACTTCAGTTTTCTAATAAAACAGCATAACACAAAGTTGAGATCTCCTTTCTAACTTCCTCAGGCCCATTCCCTCTTTTATCAATAAATGTTGTCATTATCTTAAATATGATAAACGGGTAGTCCATGATTTTTTTTCAGTTTTACAAAATGCAGAGATATCCATAAACAATATTTAGTATTGTTCTATACGAAATTATACACTAGTGTTATCACAATGTTTGTGTTCTCCAACCTGCTCTTTTCCTTCAACTTTATGTTTTTGCAATTTGCTTACCATGATATATTAGATTCTTTATTTTTTATGTAAGTAAGATGTAGAATCCCAGTACTGCAAGCATTACTTTTTTCTAATAGGAATACAAAGTTTTCTTTAAAAAAAAAAGAAAAAAAAAAGCACAAACTATTTAAATTTAGCTATTTCAGCCTTTCAAGAAAGTACACAGAAGGAAATGAGCCAAAATGGAAAAACAGTTTTTATATATCTTACAAAACCAATATCCTATTTTAATTGTTTGTTCTCTGTGTTACAATCTTACCTCAGGCTGTCCTATTCCAAGCAGAGAAATGGCAAGTCCATATACTACTAATACATAGTTAATCATGGCCAGGTTCAATTGCTGTCAATAAAAAGGCTTTAGTTAAAAATCTAAACATAAATCTGCCAGTTTACATCACATTAACCTTCTAGCCACAACAGTGTAATAACATCACTAAACAAGTGTAATTACATCATTCATCAGTATGATTGAATTAAAGATCAAATAGAATTAGAAAATATATTTTGCAAATACAAAACTGTTATATTCATATCAAGTATTTAAAACACAAAATCAGTGTTGGGGTTGTGGCTCAGCGGTAGAGTGCTCGCCTAGCATGAGCGAGGCCTTGGGTTCGATCCTCAGCACCGCATAAAATAAATAAATAAAATAAAGGTATTGTGTCCAACTACAACTAAAAAATAAATAAATAAATAAATAAATAAATAAAACACAGAATCAGTTGTTTAAGGCATAGTTCATAATAAATTAGAATAATTTTAATTAAAATCATATGCTTTTGCATATGTTAGTAACAGATTAAGTAAGATATCTGCTCTTTCACAATCTTGCTTAAGCTACTCATTTATCTAGTTAATACCTTCTTGCTGGATAAAAAAATGCAACCTAAAAGTGAGTCCAAATTCTTGATTTATTAAAAGTCTCCTTTTCATAAAAGTAAAGGCCAGAAGGTTCTGATAACCCAAACAATAGTCAAAAAGAGAACATAAGCATGGATCATACATTGAATGTAATCACAAACTCTGAATTGGGATCATCACCTGTGCCCCACAACCTGGAGGAGATTCACCTGCTCCCAGCCCAGGTATAACGTATATAAATTCGAGTTAAAGCCTTGATTTTTTCTAAATTCATCTGAGGTGCACTGGTATTGATAAACAAGCTATGATTTGGCAATTTTACCTTTATTTTTTGAGGATCTAAACCATTTAGCAACTCTGTAAAGGCCTGCGCAGCACTTCGGCAACGCTGCTCCAATAAGGCTGTGTAACCATCTTGAATTAAGCTTCTTAGCATTTTCATTATATTAGCAAAATCCTACAAAAAGGAAAAAAAAAGAAAAAGAAATTTTATTTCACTAATGCAAATCTACAGCTTTTTAGTTCAAAACTTATGATGTTAAGTTCACATTAACACTTTATAAATGATAATAAATATATAAATAAATACTCGAACTATGCTTTATTCATCATATTCCTTTCTCAGCACAGCACTGCCTCATTATCTTCATTCCTCTGCCACTGCCCATGAGAGGAAAGTTTGATTCATTTTATTCTATACAGTGCAAAGCTTTGCTTACTTTTTCAGTCTATACCAATAATATTTTAAAGTTTTAACAATGTAAGAAGAATACCAAACATCACTAAATAAGTAAATTGTCTGGGACTACAACAATTAGACACATAAGAACACACGACCTATGTACCCAAACAATCAGATTTTAACAACTGTCATCCTGTGCTGAAACAAACATTAATTTTAAGCAAGAAATACGTATTTCAATCGTTAACTACTCCTGCTTCACATGTACTTAAATATAACCAGAAAAAAATTATTGAGAGAGTACAATATTAAATAAAAGGAAAAACATAAAAAATAAAAACAAAATTGACATAATATACTCAAATAAAGTGATAAACTCTTTGCAAGTTGAAAACATATGTACACAAACATTATAATGTGAATTCAGATTTTAGTTACATGGCAATAGCCTTAAGTTACAAAAGTTCCACAAAGATGACAGAGGTAAGACATTAAGATAAAGTCTCGTCATCCTTGCCATACATGTGTACACCATTCAGAGAACAGAAAATACTAATCTAAACAATATACTCCTCACTGTTCCTAACAATAAAGACTCAAAAGGTAAACTGCTTCTAGAGTTTAGTCACAGATTAACAAAAGATTCCTGACGGTTTCTAGCCAATGAACCAAAATATAGGACAACTTTCCCCAAAAATATGATGGAAAAGAACAATTCTCATATTAACCTGGTTATCCACTATAGTATTTAAAACACACATGATAGCCACATTTGTTTTAAGATGTGAATTTGAGATTACAGACCATGAAGTGCTGTTCTGTCAATCACTAGTTATTCACCTTTTTTAAAAATATTTTTAGTTGTCAATGGATCTTTATTTTATTTATTAATATGTGGTGCTGAGAATTGAACCTAGTGCCTCACACATGCTAGGCAAGCACTCTTCCATTGAGCTTCCACCCCAGCCCAAATATGCTGTTTTAATCTCCTTTCTTATTCTAGGAACAGATCCACATAGCCTTGGAAATTATTTCCCTTAACATAACTTAACATAGGATAGCTGTACTGTAAGTTTCATCAAAGCAGGTTGGACAGTGTCAATGCAGACTCCCTCTGTCTGCAACATCTGGGAGGGGCCCAATAAAAACGTATTGAATAAACAATGGGTTCACAAACAACTATCATAAATAATCTTTTTACCTTCACAGGCTTTTTTTTTTTTTTTTAAGTCCTTCAGGGTTTTTAGAGTCAGTAAAAATATAAAAACATATAATTAAAAAATCTCCAACTGTTAACAAATTCTAAAACTGCTTTTATTCAAATGATTAAAAATCTGTTTCAGTCCTTTGTAAGATGTTATATAGACCTAAATAATTAATTGAATTTTAAATGACCCATAAATTTTGAAGCAATTATCCTATTCCATGATATAAATTTTCATCACTAAATAACATAAAAAGAATTTACCAAGTTTACTGTTAAAGTAGGCATAATGAAACTGCATATGTTTAAATCATTTTAAATTATCCAAATCTTTGAAAAATATTTCAAGTTAGTATTACTATTAAATCTTTGGCAAGAAATTCTACAGTTCTAACCACTGGTTAAATCTCTGGGTAACAATTTTTGAATTAGTATTTAAATTAATGATAGTCCGGTTTCTTAGCAAGCATATATTAATTCATGACCAGAGCTTTGCTATTTCTACTGGAAAAGCTTTTTCCATTACCTGGTGTGCAGCTCTGGAAGATTTAGAAAACTGTTTCTCCAAGATGTTTTTCAAATCAACTGGTAAAGTCAACTGTGAACTAGAACTAAAAGAGAAAAGCATGTTTTAAATCATCTTAAAATAAAACAGTCCTGTTTATATAAAGAAAAATACGGAGTAAATGGACAGTCACATGTGAGTTCCTAAATAGAAATATTACTAAGACACTGATTTCCCCAAATTACTCTCTAAATCCAATGTAATTTCAATAAAAAGTCCCTATAAAATTAGAGAAAAAAAAATACCTGAATTTCTCTGATTCATTGTTTCGGGATTTTTGTTTTCCTTTATGTTTTGGAGGCTGACCTGTGAATACAAAAGCATTTGTTCCTGAGATCCATACATAAAAATCCACAAGCCTGAGAGCAAAACAATAAAAACATATGTAAATTGGAATAAGAAAGCCAAAAAGCAATACTGTGTGAGAGCATAATTACGAACAGGTAAGCCAGAAAGGAAGGCAGGCACTGATGATGGTATTCTATGTATGATGTAAAATTATTACAAAGATAAATTATAATGGTGATAATAGTTATTTAGGTTTGCAGCAGATACAGAGAGATATAGGCAAGGGCTCCTATTCTCAGGCAGTTTACAATCAGATGGGAAGAAAGGACACATCTTTTTAGTAATGAAGATAAGAAAAGACTGTGCCATTATTGACAGATTAATTCCACAGTCAGTAACTTCTCTCCTAACTACAGAAGGAAGAAATCACCCATCTAAGGCAGTGTGGTTGGGGAAAGGGTTGGTGAGGATGCAGCCTTTCTTTGGTCTTAAGATGAATGATTTGGACAGACTGGTTGGAACCCAAGAGTAGAATTCATTTATAAATACTAAGTAAACCTGTACAATCTAAAGAGCTCTAGCACGATAGAAGGCTAGAAAATGACTGCAAAGGCAGGCTGGTGTGAGTGTTCGCAAACCCTTTTGCTTCAGATACCCATGATTCATCAGGCTAGCCTTTATCACACTGGCAGGAATACAAGCCTCTGTGTAGCAGGGGAGTGACACATTCAAAGCTAGGTGGAAGAGTGAGCATGGCAGAAGGACAGAGAATATGTGCTAGGTTTGTGGGGACAGCACAGAGCCAATCAAGGTCAATGAAATAAGAAGGGTGGAGCCCAAGCTGGCTTCAGTAGCCTCAGAAACGAAAGGTACAGGAGTCTTAGTGTGATTTCTGCTTTGTGAGGTTGGGCAAAACTATTTAACCCTAATCATGGGATCTCAAGTTCTTTTACTGAACATGGATACTGATGAGTAAATAGTATTTAAATGTTATTTAAATGTATTGTCTGCTAATAATGGCCTAAGAAATATTAACGAATTAAAAACTGCCTTTCTAAAAAAAAAAAAGCTTAATCCTCAAAGATGTTTCACCTGGTGTTGGAATCACAATAGGTAGGACAAACACCTACGTTTCCCACTCACTGTAAGCACACTAATTGCTAACCAACTGCAAATGTTCAGTACTAAGGGGTTCAACATGTGGAATTAGACCCCAGAGAAGACAGAATGTAGGTAGTAAACGATAAAAATGGATAGAAACAAAGCCATTCAAAAGAAAACAAACGAGAGAAAGTAAAGAGAGCAACAGGGTATCACTAACTGGAGGCCAACAATCCACTTCAATAACCCTGAAAGGTACTCTATATGAAAGCTTGAGATAAACAACTATTGGGTATAACAACCTAGAATCATTAAAAAAAAAAAAAAAAAAAGTCTCTATTTCCTTAAACTCTTGTTTTAAAAAACAGAGAAGCATGTAATCCACTTGAGAAAGATTTTCCTCAAAATTAAAACTAAACAGGAATTAGCCTAAAGCATTCTTATGGGCTGAATGTGTTGCCCCAAGATTTGTTATGTTGGAAATCTAATCCCCAATGGTTTTAGGAGGTAGAACTTTGAGGAGGTGATTAGGTCATAAGGTAAAGACCTTGTACAGGAATTAGTGCCCTTATAAGAAGAGGCCCCAGGACATGCCCCCATCCTTCTATCATGTGAGGACACAGCAAAAAGTTAGCCATCTACTGTTGGGCACAGTAGTACACCCTGTAATCCTAGCAACTCTGGAGACTAAAGCAGGAGGATCCCAAGTTCAATGTCAGCCTCAGCAACTTAGCAAGACCCTTTCTCAAAATAAAAAATAAAAAAGGCTGGGGATCTCGCTCAGTAGTAAGTCTCTGGGTTCAATTCCCATTATCCAAAAAAAGGTCATCCATTAACCAGGAAAAGAGGCCTCACCAGATATCAAAACTGCTGGCACCACAATATTGGATTTCCCAGCCTACAGAAATGTGAGAATTGAATGTTTGTTGTTTAAAGCTACCCAGTTTATAGTATTTTTGCTACAGTAGTCCCAAAGGACTAAAGTATCCATTCTTTTTTTTTTTTTGGTGCCAGGGATTGAACTCAGGGTATTTAACCAGTGAGCCACATCCCCAACCCTTTTAAATTTTTTTTAAATTTAGAGACAGCATCTCACCAAGTTGATTGCCTTGCTAAATTGCTTAGGCTGGCTTTGAACTTGCAATCCTCCTTCCTCAGCCTTCCAAGATGCTGAGATTACAGGTGTGCGCCACCACACCTGGCAACAGACATCCATTCTCAACAGGAGTTGAGTATTACCCCAAATACAGTAAAAAATTAAGTTGTTGGGAGATGAAAAAGGCTAGTTCTTTTTATATATAAAGCACAGATGAACATATTGTATGTAAACAGACAAGCAGTACATATGGTATTAAAAATTTCAGAGGAAGATTGATTAGGGGGAAAAATGTAAAAAAAAAAAGAAAGGCTCCTGAGATTAAGGAAAGGGAGATAATAATGAAAACTTACAATAACAAGAAACAAAGGTGGCCTAAAAGTGATTAAGGACAGATCAAGAAATGCTATGTGCTTAAGTGTTCCTTTCCATTCTTCTTATTGAAGTTCAAAAATTAAATGTATTAAGTAATGAAAAGACCGAGCATTGATTTCAAATACTCAATGTTTTCTTAACAATAAAAACTGCTATGTTTATGCTGAGTGTTCCCCAAAAGTCCATGTGCAAAGGCTTAGTCGCTAGGGTGGCAATATTAAGAAGTGCTGTAGAATCTTTAAGGAAGTTTGTTAAATCGCTGGAGAAATGCCTTTGAAGAGGAATATGGGAGCCTGGTCTTGTCTTCTCTCTCTGCTTCCTGGCTCAGGATATAAGCAGTATGCTCCACCACATTTTCCCTGCCATTGCAATCCACTGCCTTACCAGCACTGAGCCAATACAGGCACCATATCTTCACATCTCCAGAACTATGAGCCAAAATATAATTCTCTTTACGTCATAGCTAGCCTTTGCCAAATATTTCATTATAGTGATGGAAAGCTGACTTATATAGAAGCATTATAAATTAAAATGAGAACAAGAGCAAATATAAATGAGGCTTGTACAAATTTTAGGGCATAAAGTTTAGGTAATACTACGACAACTCAGCAACAATTTATATAAGAAAAAATACTCACTTGGTGGTGGTAAAAATTCAGGATGACAGTCACAATCATCTACCTTCAAAGCCTCATCTACCACCTGCCCATGAAAATAAAACTAGTGAGACTGTAAAAATAATATAGCCATTTCAGTTATACCAATCCTCAGCATTTATCCAAAAGAACTAAAGTCAACATACTATAGTGATCATGCATATCCATGTTTGTAGCAGCATAGTTCACAATAGTCAAAACTATGGAACCAGTCTAGGTGCATCAATGGATGAACTGATCAAGGAAATGTGATACATACACACAATGGAGTTATACTCAACTATAAAGAAGAACAAAATTATGCCATTTGCAGGAAAATGTATGGAACCTGAGCACATCATGTTACGTGAAAGAAGCCAGACTGAGAAAGTCATGGGTCATATGTTCTCTTACACTTGGAAGCTAGAGAAAAAATAAAGAAAAAAAGAGGACCGGTCTCATGAAAATAGAAGAGAGACCAGCAGAGTAGTGGAGAGGGAACAGGGTGAAGGGAGAGGAAGTACTGGGGAATGAAATGGACCAAATTGTTATATACATGTATGAGAATGTAACAATGGATTCCACTATGATGTATAATTATAATGTACTGTTAAAAAAAATAAGAATTCAATGGCCATGTAATAGAATTTGTAGTAGAATATGATAGAATTCACTCAAGCACCTAAAATATGCATCTAGTTACTAAGTCTAAATGTATAAGCAAGCATACAAAATGATAACTAGTGACCAGAGATCAAGACAAATGACAAATTCTTGAATGACAATTCTATCTCTGATTCCTAGAATGATGTCTCATGTGGCAGCTATTCAACAATGACTGAACTGAATATTACCACATTATTCCTGTGCTCTTCTCCCTAAATTAATAAAGCTTCTTGGAGATTTTCAATATTACCAACAAAAGGACTTAACGGTATATTAAGAAAGTTCCTTTCAATGCCCATCACCCACCCAATGCCAAAACATCATGATCTTTTCTTTCCTCAAATCTTGAAGAGAAATATAATGTGGACTTAGTGATAGCTGCTGAGTGTTGGATGTATATCACAGGTAGAGGAAAACTCAGACACATTTATCTGGGACACCTGACCTCAGAGGCAGGCTAGAAGCCTTAGTGTGGTGCTCTGAAGAAACCATCAGACCAAGATTGCTGCTGAGCACAGCCTTGAAAGGGCAACAGAAGCTGTAGATACACCTTGGCAGAGGTGGGGAAGGAGTGCCTCCTAGGCACCCCAGCTTAGCACAAGTTGGCTGGTGAGCTGCTACAGTGCCAGGTCACAAACAGATTACAAATCAGAAAAGGGAGAAAAAGACAAATCCAAAACACAGGGAGGGGCAGAAGTGACTTGGCCATCAGACCCCATTGTCACTCATTCCTGAGACTGGCTGGGTGACCTAAAAGGAGGGTATAAAAATGGACTAAATGGCAAAATTATATCTAGAAAAAAATACTTTTAATATCTGTAAATATAGTCAGGCTTGACAGTACATTCCTATAATCTCAGCGACTCAGGAGGCCAAGGCAGGAGGATTCCAAGTTCAAAGCCAGCCTCAGCAACTTAGAAAGGCCCAAAATAAAAAAAAATAAAAAGGCTGAGGATGTGCTTAACTCAGTGGGTAAGCATCCCTAGGTTCAATCCCTGGTACAAAAAAAAAAAAAAGATATGTAAGTGTGATTTCAGAAGAGATTCTGTGACTTTAAATATATTATTTTTATGTAGTTGTATGAGGTATAACTGGTTGTAGTTGTATGAGGAATAATTGCACTGGGGATGTGGTTCAGTGGTTAAGCACCCTTGGGTTCATTCCCTGGTACCCAAAACAAAACAAAACAAAATCTAAAAAAAGAATTATTTTCTTGATCTCAACAAGTAAGAGTTTATACCACCAAAATAGTTGGTTTCCACTATCAACAAACATGTTACTTTTAATAGCTGAAATAATTTTAAGTTTTTAACTGAGCTTACCTTTAGATTCTGATTACCACCGTTTGCCATCTTGTAGTTAGTTTTTTTGAGATCTCTTTCCGTCTCCACAAAGTTAAGTGAAGTACTAAAAGCAGGTGCTGATAAATTCCTAGGTATATAGGCCCTAAAATGGGATAAAAGGAATGACCCCTTTATTCCTACTAATTAATGAGCATTTTTAAAAGTTATCCTTCAAACAAACAGGTTGCAGCAATTATAGCCTTTCTTCCTTGAAAGCAAGGTACCACTGTTTTGAAAAGATCCTCTACCTCTCAGATAAGCCTTTATACATAAGTAGTATTTAAAACCAGTTCAAGACTAGTATTCTGGGTTCTAATATTAAAGTAAATAAGTCTTCATGTTTCACATGTTAACAGCTTCACTATCCTGTGTACTTATAAAGGGAGAAAGGCTTAATCTATTTAAATTGCCAAATAAGCAAATGTAGAATCCTGGCTATTTATTTTCTTATAAGCATTCCTAAATCGATCTGTACTCTTTGAAAAGTATCAAGAGGCTGGGGCAACGTTTCCAGGACAGAGAGGAAGGGCATGAGGCAAAGGCTGTGTATCAGCTCTCTACTGCCAGGACCCCGGGACCAACTGCTCCCCGTCAAGCACAATAACTTCAAATTAACATTCCACTCCTCTTTTCTCACTAACTTAGGCTACTAATCGTCCAAGTCGTTCAATAAAATAAATCTGACAACTCACAGGTCACCTGATATTTTGTGTGCAAACACACACACACACACACCAAAAAAAATTAGAACCCTCTTTTTCTTCCATCCCTAAATTTACTATAGTTGCGATTAAGTTTTTTAAATGACAAACACAAGTGATTCTTAAGTTCACAGAGCAAAGTCATTCCAAGTAGTAGCTACTGATCTGATATTAACTCACCTGCTTTCATAAAAAGCTTTAATTGGATTCTTATTTGGTGTTCGACCTATAAAAGTCAATCACACACACACACAGAGTAATCAATGGATTGGCAACACAGACTTCAAAAGATTTTCAAATTTCCTTTAAGCTGAGTAAGAATATCAAACAACTTTAGAAAGCTGAAAAATAAATCAAAACAATTTTACAATTCTAGATGTCAGTAATTTCAGAATGGTGTCAACAAACTGTTGTACACCATGTATGACATCCCACTGCATGTGATTACTGACAGGATGACAGCAATACATTGATTTGAATCAGAGACAGTACCTGTCTTCAAGGAGCTCACAATCTAAGAATCTTGTTAACAGCTGGATGACAACATCTGCTAGTTACAAAACTGCTCAGCTCAGCTCCATAGACACTGAATACCCAAAGAAGAAGAAAAAAAAAAAAAAAAAAAAAGGAAAGACCTAGATACTCAAAGTGTAAAGAAATTTTTTCAAGCACTGAGAAGGAAAAATGACTAAGTACAGAAAACAAGGTTGAAGAATGGAAATTTACAAGTCCTAGCCTGCACAGCCAATTTCTGATTATAGATGTTCAACATGCTATAGAATTATTTGCAAACTTGGTGCAAACAAATTAAGCAACTCTATTGAAGGGCCTTTTCTTTTAGAAATAACTTAAATGATGAAAAGTTTTACACAATTTCCTTTCAAAAGCATTTATTTTATTCAAAATTTCTGAAAAGAATATTTTTCTATAGAAGAATAAATAATAATTTGGTTACTGGCTGTTTCAAATAAAAAATACAAATCATGTATAATAACCTAATGGAACATATTACTAACTCTACACAGAAAGATATAGAAAACGTAAGTAACTTGAGGATAACATAACAAAATAAGCACAAATCATCTGAGAACTGATTTATGATCCTCTGTTAATCCAAGAAACCCACCTTTGAAACTTTAAAGGGAATTCAACTGTAACCAAAAGAATCTTAGGTGAAATACCTTGTAGGTCTTCTATTTGTTTTTGTAACTTTACATGCTGCTGAATTAGATCCTTGATTCCCTCAGGGTCATTTTTACAGAGTTTTTGAGCTTTTATGTTTGCTTGCAGGGCCCAGTCATATTCCCCCAGCATAGAAAGAGCAGCACAATAACGATAATGACCCTGTTCCAAAAAGATAAATTTAATTTTTTTCTCAAAAATATGCTTAAATTAAATAATAGGTAAGGAAAAATATTGTTTGAAAATGAATTAATTAAAATGTTAGATTAGGCCCCTATCATGAAAAATAAATAAAAATGTTAACACCTCAAGAAATAAAACTAATGAATTAGTGGAATGTTATGAATAGGCAAGTTATTTTTAACAATTAACTAGAGATAAATATTTTTGCTTAAGAGATTCTGGTACCCCAGCGAAGTATTTAACTTCTGTTATATTTTACTAATAAAGTACTAAACACAGTATTTTGTGAATAAAAGTAATTCGTTATAAGAAACAAATTAAAAAAAAATACTTTAAGGCAATAATATTCACTAAGTCATGACGTGCCCTACACTTTGGAAATCAAGATTTTGGAGCTGGAAGGAGCAACCAGCTTGGGCAGCATTCCCAGCACCTCCAAAAACACAGGCTCAAATAACAAGTGTAGTCAGGCTAACTCTTCTTTCCATCTCTCTCCTTCAATCAGCTTTTATTTTATCTGTAAGTGTAGTTCCTAGCTTTAAGAAAAGGTCCAAAAATCACTGACTTTATTCTCAATGCAAATGGTAAGGTTTTGGCTTTTTGTTTTTGTTTTTTGCTATAGAACCCAAATCCTTACTGACTCCAATATTTGGAAAATCCATTATATCTAACATCTTAGTCTAGAAAGCGAATAATATCAAACCTGGGGCTAATTTAACTAACCCGGCTCCCAGTTATTCACAAATCAAACTTCCATTTTAGGTACCATGTCTCCTCTAGAGAGACGATCTACCAGAAAAAAACAGGCCAGAACCTGGCCTTGAGTCACAGTTAGAAACAAACTAAATAACAATGATTTTATGACACCTAGTCCAGATCTCCTTCCTACTTACTACACATTTTACAAAGAACATTCTGATTAGATGAGAACCTGGGAGAAAATCAAAATAAGTGAACCCTTTAAGTGGAAAAATCAAAAATAAGTGAACCCTTTAAAAAGGAGTAGTTTTTTGCTAAAAGAATCACTGGCATGTTTATTCAGAGTCAGTACTGTGTTCTTGTGGACCTATGAATTCTGAAGATTTTATTCTAAAGACTATGCATTTCATTAAACTCTGCTTCCCCTTAGAGGGTAGAAGTCCTGTTTCCTGACACCTGCAGTATAAGAGGACAAAGAGATCTCTCATATATACTAAAAGGTGGAAAATCCTACCACTAGATATTTGTCAACTTTCAAGTTCAGATTACTACATTTAAAAAAAATAAACACAGAATAGAAATAATGTTAGATCATAAAACATACCTGCTAAACTTGTAGTGAATATTTTCTTCTTTTCCCCTACTATTCTCACCACCTATTGGATCTTTTTCCCTGGACCCCATATAACTTCTGCTGGTTGAGAGAGCGGTTTATCCAGCCCCCTGTGCTGAAGCTTAATGAAGCTCAGATTAAAGTATCTCAGTTTCTTGAACCAATTACCAATAAAAATTTTTGTTCTTCTTTGACACTCACATTCTCTATCATATACGGACATTCCCTACTATCTGTTGGTCTAGCATCCCCTCACCTAGGGGTAAACATTTTCCACTCCTCATAGATATGGCATGGCAGTACTATCAGTTTTAGTGCACCATCCCAACAAGGAATAGCGGCTCTGACTGGTCAGTGGAAACATACCACTTCCCAGGTCACTGTAACTGATCCACACGGGGACACATGACCCAACTGAAATCAACCTGAGCCTTAGGCTTATTATATAGATACTGACAGGGGTTTCTTCACATTAGAATTAATAACTATGACGGATATTGGTTTGGGGCTCCTACTACAAAGTCAAAAAGTTTTTTTTTTTAATGTGAATATGCTTTACTTTCTATATATATATATATATATATGTATATATATATATATATATATATATATATATATATATATATAAATAAAACTGTAAAGTTTAGAGACGATCAGGGCACATCTAGAGTGGAATGTCCATACACGGCCAAGCAAAGGCCTATACTTGTTCTATTCTTTCTTGTTTTTTTCATGTATGACATGCTTCTGCCTGTGCATTGGTGTATATATGGTATGCAGTCACTTTTTGATAAAAATCACTTAATTTAGAAGATAATTGGAGAGGGAAATTGTCAGTTCATCCCTCATATTGAAGGACCATAACTTATTCCCAATGATTAAAACTTTATCCTGTGTATATTATCTCAATAGCAATGGGGTATATTTCTTTTTTTTTAATTGAGTGATTTAAAAAAATAATAAATGACAGTGGAATGCATTACAATTCTTATTACACATATATAGCACAATTTTTCATATATCTGGTTGTATATAAAGTATGTTGACACCAATTTGTGTCTTCATACATGTACTTTAGATAATGATATCTATCACATTCCACCATCCTTGCTACTCCCCTGCCCCCTCCCTTGCCCTCCCACACCTCTGCCCTATCTAGAATTCATCTATTCCTCCCATGCTCCCCTTCCCTACCCCACTATGAGTCAGCCTTCTTATATCAGAGAAAACATTCAGCATTAGTTTTTTGGGGGGATTGGCTAACTTCACTTAGCATTATAGCAGCACAATTCACAATAGCTAAACTGTGGAGCCAACCTAGATGCCCTTCAGTGGATGAATGGATAACAAAAATGTGGCATATATACACAACAGAATTTTACTCAGCAATAAAAGAGAACAAAATCGTGTAGGTAAAAGTCTTTTTTTAAATGAAGCCACAAGAACCTATGTTCAAACTTCCTTTTCTGGCCAAGATGGAGTACCAGAGACCAGATTTACCATCCTGCCTAAAATGAATTTTAAAAACAAAAAAGATATGATTCCCTGGCTTATAAAACACTGGACACTGGGCAAGAAAACTGAGTGATCCTTGAGAGAAGAGAAACACACAAAGTAAGACTTAAGACTGCTCCAGCTTACTGAGACAAACCCTCAGCCCAGGAAAAAGTCACTACTCAAAGACTGGCAGTCTCTCTCAGCTAAGGAGAGAGAGGTGGGAGGCAGGATTAAGGCAAGCTTGAGTTCATGAAGCAAGGACCATAGAGGGGAGAGCTGCCAAGAGAACTTCAAGGAGTCCTCAATGGGTCTTCAGCTGAGCACTGTCAGCACATGTCTGTGGGAAGAGCTCTCAATCAGGGAAAGAGCTATCAGAAAGGCTAATAGTACAAGAGTCGGACTCATACATTACTGCTACACCCACAAACCTGAGTGGAAAATGTCAGAATTCAGGGAGCATTAAGTACTCAGAAAGTTTTGCCTCAGTAGTGAAGGAAAAAGTTAGCCTTAGGTTAATGACACTATGGCCCCACATAATAGAGCTTAAAACAAGATTATAAAAAAACTAACCTCCTTGTATGTTATTTCACTGTATTCCAAAACAAAGCTCAAAGGTAATCAGAGAAAATGAAAGATATGCAGCACTAAACAAAGTAACATTCACAGTGTTGAATTCCAATAAAAAATGACCAGGTATGCAAAGAAAGGAAATGTGTTCTATAGTGAGAAAAATCAATCAACTGGAAGCCCATAAATGACACAGATGATGGAATTCAGGATATTACAACAGTTGCTATAATCACATTCCATACGTTGTAGAAGCAAGTAGAGACATGAAATATAAGACCCAAATTTAATTTCTAGAGATAAAAATTAAAGTATTTAAGATGAAAAATACCTGAATGTTAAGAAAGGCAAATGAAACATTATAGATGAAAATATCCATGAATTTGAAGATACAGAAAAAAAAAACTTTGTAAAATCAAACAGAAAAGAGAAAAAAGAACGAAATATGAAACTGACAAAACAGGGAAACAGCTGAGAAACAGAAGGACATACACAGCTCTTGCCCAGCCACCACTGAAGCCAACCCCTAGACTTCTCAAGTACAACAGCCTACAGATTCTCTCTACTACCTACACCAAGGACCTGAGTCAGGTTTCTATCGTTCACAAACAAGAATCTAACATATCCTTCAGAACGCCGTCTCTTGAGGACTTTAGTGAGTCTATTATTTTGTATCTTGTAAACTACAGCAAAACACAATACGCACAGAAACATTAACATATCTCTACTGACTATACCATAAAATTTCTCATTTTTCAAAGTACAATGACTCATCCTCTCTCAAGCCTGAAAGTAAGTCTAGAGACAGGTGACCCTCTAGTAGTCTCCCCTATCTGAACCAAAGGAAGCAAAAATGGCCCATCCCCATGCAGAAATGGAAAGTACCTGCCTCTACAGGTTTGTCTCAGAGCTGTGACCCCACAGACTTGGGCTCATACTTCTCAAACAAAACATTCTTAGAAAAGTAAAGAACGCACCTTGCACACTCTCCTTTTTTTTTTTTTTGCACTAGGGGCCTCAGAGGGGTTTAACTACTGAACCACATTCCCAGACCTTTTTATTTTTAATTTTGAGATTCAGTCTTGCTAATTTGCTCAGGGGCTCACACTAAGTTACTGAGGCTGGCCTCAAACTTGTGATCCTCCTGCTTCAGCCTCCTGAGTCTCTGGGATCATAAGTGTGTGCCACCATGCCTAGATGCATGCTCTATTTTAGCTTCTGAAGTAAAAATATTCTTCAATGAATATTTCTATCTGGTAAAATAAAAAGGAAAAATAGCTTACATATATAGTTACCAAATTTTGTGAATACTTAACTAGTGGTTGTATTTTTTTAATCTATGCAAATTTTTTGCAATCATATGACATATCATAAAACATCCCAACTTAAAAATTAGTAAATATTTTGTCTGAGAAACCAAACCAGGAACACTCTATGAAAGTCTTCAAAAATAATTCAGAAAGCCTTAATATTCTTCCCTAAATTTGATAATAGATTAAAATTTGCAAGAAGTATCTCTGGAAAACCAGTATCATAGACTGGGTTTCAGTATTCAGAACATTATCAATTCATTTGTTCTACAAATATTTATAGAGTACCCACA